TTGGTTTTCCCCCATTTTTTGTACTCTAAAAACATAAAATCGATCGATTTCTTTCCAGACCATTTTGTAGAGCTTAAAAAAAATAATTATTGTATATTAATTATACAATTAGCCTTGTTGTATGCCTAACGGTTACGGAGATTTAATTCAAAAAAACTTAAAACTTTGTAGTTTGCTTTTTTATGGATATATTTTAATCAAATTTCATACTAAGCTATCAACATATCAAAAAAACACTCGTCAATACCTTCCCTGTAGCAGCAAACCTATATACTCAATAAAATTAATGTTATAGTATTTAAATAGGAAATAAATCTGACAATTTTCAGGGTATATATTTGAGTAGAAATCCAGCCAGGTATTGGAAATTAACTTAGTCTGCAGGTTTGCTGCGGCGGGGGTATTTCAACAATTTACTGTAATTTTGCTTTGTTCCATAGTGTGAAGGGATATGGGATTTTGTATTGGGGTAAGTAATTGTATTCATGTTACAAATGGAGTATTACTAGTGGAACCCCATCGAAATCGACGGTTAATCTTGAGGTTTTATGGAAATTCAGCTAACTGCGATAGATAGAGTGAAGTCATTAAAATCTTAGTTAAATGATGGGAGGATAAGCAATAATAAGTATGACGATTGTGTTCCCTAAAAAACGTGATTGATGAATTCGTTTAACACAATATTTCCTACCTTTTCATCGGCTTTAGGTTGCCCAAAAGGTGTTTTAGGAGTCTTATAATTGTTTGTTCATGAGTTTGTTTCATGTCAAAGCCACTTTCACTATATGGGAGAATGAGTTCATATAATTAGTCTATCATGTTACGGAAAGAGTCAATATTTATTACTAACAACTAATTCCATCTGCTTTAGGAAAATCATTCAGATTGTATCCGGATTTATAAGTTAATCTTCATCTTTGGTCATAAAAATACAGAATTTTATCAGCATATTAAATTAGTTTTTTTTTTGTATTTGATAAAAATATCTGATTCTCCAGAAAGCAGTAACATTATTACTTCGATCCAAGCAATTTTAATTCCTTCTCTTGCCACATCGACCCATGTATTTAATCATCCTGTTCTTACTTGATAATTCGTTAACTTATGGGGTAGTTTTGCCATGGCCATATCGATCACATAAAGCTGTGCATGTATTTCGTGGATGGAATGAACCATAATTGTAGGAAATTTTATCACAAATCTTGAAAATTTGCGGAACCAAATCCATAACCTAGTCCCGCCTCGGTAACAAATTATGCAAATGCGATGATATGTGATGACACTGTTGTGTTTCCGAATGTTTTGTATATAGTGAGGTTTAGATGCGTTGTTCGACCTAGCTACATGTGTACATCAAAGTAAAAACCCTATTAAAGCTAACCCGATAAGGAATAATTATATATTCCTTCGAAATTGATATGTCACACTTATTTCATAACTAGCTGTACTCGCGGGCTTTGCCCCGTTTAACTTCATAAGTATTCGCATGGCTCATTCACGTCCTGGTTGAAGTTTGTTCGCTACGCTCACTCACCTTTAGGTTGGAGCTCGTTCGCTGCGCTCATTCGCTACGCTAACTCGCCTCCAGGTTGAAGTTCGTTCGCTACGCTCACTCACCTTTTGGTTGGCAATTAGCTGTTTTAATAAATTAAAAAAAAAATAATAGTACTGCACCTGTTGGTAATCCTTGTAACTTTTATGCTATTGAACATCATAGAACAGAACCAACTTGTTTAATTGAAACAGCTGTTAAGATTCATTAATTCCTTTTAAATATGAAAAATCATAAGGTTAACATGGGGAACTACAGAGCCACTGGGGCGGAGCCCGAAAGGATTTTTGAGATGAGAATATGATTTAATGTTAATCGGGAATGTGAGCTATCATCATACCAAATTTCAGCCCAATCCGTCCAGTAGTTTATGCGTGATTGAGCAACACACACACAAACTCACAAACTTTCAGATTTATAATATTAGTAAGATTTAAAATTTTCTAAGAGCATTAAAGCATAGATTTTTGAACAAAACATTTAAAACGTATAATAAATTCATCATTTTGTTGAAACTATAAAAAACTTGCCATGCAGTGGAGAATCAATTTAAAATCATAAATAATAATGTAAACATTTATTTTTGACAGTTTCAGTAGACCTTTGAATACAATTTTAATATTAACAGCTTAACAATAAAAGTAGTGTAAAATTATCCATATGGTCGTAATGTAAACAAAATTGCAGAGTGAACTTTAAAGGCCTCTGGGGCAGACCAATACCTTTCTTTAGACACCCCTACCAAGTTTTTACGCCCAGCCGTTCTCTCAAATTAGCTGTGACAAAAACCCCGTTTTCCTCCATAAGAATAACATGGGATGGGAATTTAAAGGCCACTGGGGCAGAGCCCCGAGGGAATTCACCATGTTTCTCTTTTGATGGCTCATCTACAGACCAAGACCTTTCTTTGGACACCTCTACCGAGTTTCTACGCCCAGCCGTTCTCTCAAAATAGCTGTCACAAAGAAAAACAGTTTCAAATCAATATATAGATTGCAGCAAAAAAGGATTAGGAATAATTACTAATTCCCACCATCTTGAGCATTGTAAAGACATTTATTTAATAGAGAACAAATGTTTAACTATTTCATATTATTATGTCTCATTTATACAAAAGAATCTCTCTATAATCTTGCATTGAACTCCACCAAAATAGATTAAATATCCACACCACAGAGAGTTTCATAAAAAAAGGTAAAGTTTTTCTAAAATATGCAGGTCTACAAAGAAATTAGCAATAGGCTATAGAAGCATAGAAATGCAATATGACAAAAAATATTGTTACCACACAAGTAAAGAGTGTCTCTTCAACCCTCGCCCATTTTTGAAGTGAAACTTTAGCTCTGGTTGAAAAGAGTCACTTTGCACCCTAGTGATGAAATATACTATTTCTCCATGGTTCAGAATAGAGCTTTACTCTTTGCCCATAAAGAAAATTTGTTAAAATGAAAGAGTTAACTGATGAGTTGAAATATTAAGAAGAGTTTGAAGTTTGGCCAATATATACCTACTGTGGACAGTATTTACTTGATAGTTGACTAATCACATTGTAAGTGAATATTAAAAATAATGTGACTTGGCTAATGCAACTTGTTTTGTTGAAATTTTGGCTAAATAAATGATTTGATTTGAAGTTAACTTACCTACACAAGTCAACAATTGATTGGATAAACCGAATTTGTTACTTTACTACAGAAATCCATTAGAACCACTCATAATGTAGCAAATCCCACAACAAGGCATGTTGCAAGTTTAACAGATGTGTAAGAAATTGTTTTAGGGTACCTAATTAAACGAATACAAACTTTATTATTTTAATATTAAGAGCTATTTTACTTTTCTTGGTTTGTTTTCTAGTTATGTCATTTTGAGATTCACAATGGAGTGTATCAGAGTTGGATAACTTAATTCGAACTGTGTTGTGAATGTAAAACCACTAGTGGTGATATAACACACTGTGTTAATAACAGTTGTGCAGGTGATGCTTTGAAACCTACACATGTGCTTTTCTAAAGAAACACGTTTGACTCATAAATATATGACTGTTTTGTTTGTACTACATGCTACCAACTTTATTTAAACCATCTAACAGACTATCACTCGTCGTGTTTAATTAAACATGATTTTTTAATGAAATTAATTCAAATTCAATTCCTTATCTTATCGCCAAAGTTTAGAATATTGATGTTTCTCAATAGCTGTAAATAAAATTCAAACAAATCATTCCCAACTCCATCCTAACCAACGATCACATAAGACCAACATGGTCTTAAGCTACTGGTAATTAATTTGATAATGAAAAACTCACCTTAACTCTTTTAGCGAATTTTCCATATAGGGAATAAGCTATTACCAATATTACTGTAGAACTCATGGTAAGACCTGGACCCGGAGCCAATTTACTTTTTTGTTTTTGAGGCCCCCAGAGGCCAAAAACGCCCTTCGCTCAAATTCATATATACTATATATATATATATATGAAGTTATTGAGTCCGTTAGCGCGATACCTCAAGCAAAAATTATCCGATTTTGATGAAATTTGGTATAAACATGTAAACCTACGTTTATTCTAACGAGTTCATGAACCAGCATGATTGGACTATGGGAACTATGGGGTTTTATTGGCTAAAAATTGGGTTTTCCCATTTTTTACTCTAAAAACATAAAAGTTCTTGATTTCTTTCCAGTAGAGCAGTGTTTTGTAGAGCTTTAAACAAGGAATAATATTTTTGTATATTGAAGCGCTGTTATATGCCTAGCCTAACGGTTACGGAGATAATAAAAAAATTAAAAATTAAAAATTCCAATGTTATTCTTATGGAGAATAATTCAACTGTTGTAGTTTGCTTGGTTATGGATAAATTTTAATCAAATTTGCCAATTTTGTTTATTTTATATTAAGCTATTAACATTTCAATAATATTGCTTAAGCATACTCCCTGGTGTGGATTAACGTCCGCACTAGTGAGTACTACTACTATCCGCAGTACTATCCTGATAATTAGACCAATTCGTATATACCAAGGAAAAAATGTGGTTCGGATTCCACTATAAACTGTAGGTCTCTTAGTTGCCATTAGCTGTTTGGGCTATTAATTAACAGCTGTGTCTAAGGAATGTCGGCATTAGTCACTAACAAGACTACAAGATCGCGCCACTCATCCTACACCCATCTCCATTCATACTTGGCTTAAAATACCTACATAGTATGGTCGCCATTTCATAAGAAAGTATAAAGTATAAAGTACCAAACCTTAAAAAAAACACTTTCGTAAATAAAGACTTAGGGTCAGCCTCTTCTCTTCAATCAACACAGTTAGTTAACACATATGTATACAAAAAATACAACAAAAAAACATCTCATAAGCAACATTTTCTTCATTTCAACTCTAAAAATATTCACTGGCAATAAGCGTTACTATTTCATAACCAAAACATATGTTTGCAGGGAAGTATCAAAAGCTTTGAATAAAACACGAGGTCTCTACCGTCGTTGGTTGGAACTGCAGGAGGACATAGTCAGCAACATCACCAAGGAGGAACTAGAGTGGACCACAACAGAACTGAGGAATGCTCTACGAAGTATCGAGTGGGATCTAGAGGACTTGGAGGACACCATTGATATCCTTTACTGTATTGTTTTATAACTTTTTCATTACGATAGGTTAATTTTTCTCTACCTGCGGCAAAAGCGGTTGTATTCATTTATTTTTACGGTACCTATACACTGTTTTGACAATAGGCCTAAATACTTAAACCGTGACATGCTTCATGAAATTTAAAATGTAAGAGAAAATAATATGTATATCATTAATACAATGGCAAGATAGGCCATTGACTATTAAGATAATACTTAAATACAACAATAGTGAAAAACCAAGTATGACGGGGCAGGGGTATGTGTGAGGTGTCTCTCCAGCCAGAGGGCAGCAGCTCAAATGGAGTGTACGAATCCTGTGTTGATGAGGTCATGTGACCAACTTATGAAGCCACGTTTACACTGGTATTTGGAACAAAATGATTGGAATTTTTTATTGGTAACACTTGTTTCTGAAACAGAAGTTTTTTTAAACAAAAATTTACAAAAGATAATGCACTTTTCTTTCATTTTGTTGGAAACAATTTAATCTCCCTTCTCGAGAAAATTAGGTCAGTCCCTCTCGAGATAGTCACCTTGTGGTGGGTAGGCGCGGGGGATAGCGGGGAAGTGTTGCAAACAGCGTAGTAGTACAGAAACATTTGTTCAAAACAAATGTTTCCTTATGTTTGGAACACCCTTTGATCTTTACCCACTACTGGTGGGAGACAAAATTTCTGTTGTAAACACTAAAAAACTGTTTCCAACATCAAAATGTTTCTGTTCCAAAAGTAGTGTTTCTTCGTTTGTGAAGAAAATTAGTTGTAAACACGTGTTCCTAGCTCCAGGGAGAACACGGCTTGAGAATTCCATCAGTATTTTTTGGGAGCTTGATAGGAGATATACTACGATAAATGGTGGATGATTTTAGTGGAAATTAATGGGCTAGGTGATTTTGTATTCTGTTGCACATCAAACTAGGCATTTTTCTGCTTTCTGAAAATCACTGTACTACGTGCGTGCCCAACGGAAATTTTTTAATATTAATTTGGACTTGTGTGTATGCGAGAGAAAATGTGAGAAATACAGGCATAAACCGAAACACTGGATAGTTCATGGAGTTCATAGGGTTGATTCCACATTATTTACAATATCCTAAGTGGCTTGCTTGACAAAGTGTTTGTAAACTGAGGATCAGTTAGGTTGTTAGTACAGCTTGTTTGTCATCATTATAATGACTCTCTTATCACTTGCATTAATGATTCTTGTGTTGTGATTCATCATAGACATTTAAAAGTGTTGTTTGTTTCAACAAATTAATGTTGATTTGTACAACTTTTTATGTTAAAGTTGTCGTTAATTATAATTCCATCATAAAATATTCTTTAATTGAAAACTCCTTAACCTAATCGTGTATGTTTTTAATTAATGAAAATAAGAAGAGTATTTTAAATTTTATTTTTTAAACTCTGCTAGGATGACAAATTTTAAAAAGTTAACTTTTCATTATTAACTGTTATAACCTGTATTGTTTCTTACACTTGTCTATTTTTTATCTATACTAGGTTTATAAAACTGAGGTGGTGTCTGTCTGTCTGTCTGGGCAGCTGTCCCGGCTAAAATACTAAACCGATAAAGCCAAAATTAAGCGCAAATAAGGTCCATATATCTAGGAATGTCATAGGCCTATTCACTTCCCAGAGTTCCTCTTGGGCTACACCCCTTGGATGTCAAAAGTTTTGAGGCGAGGTTTTCAAAAGTAAATATTAATATTGATCTCCATGGAAGCATGAGAAAATTCACAATGTTTACCTTTGCATTGACATTTCAATGTAAACAAACAGAACTGCCAAATTGCTTATTTCACAATTTATTTCAGACAACTGACCCAAAGAAATTAAATATAATATTTTACACAACTATGTGGCAGGTTTATTTATTCTAAAACTGTGTCATTGATTATGGGAAAAAAAGATTTTATAACCGTTGCTGTATCAACCTAGGCTTCAATTTATTGAAATGTTTAAGTTATTAAAATAATTTAATTGATATGTTTTCATGAAACAGTAGGACAATTTAAATGTAGGTTATACTTTTTTGTAAAAATTCAGTGGCTTTTTGTTTATAAATTCAAACTACTTAACAAGTGTTTGGATTAGGCGGTATAGTACATCTTCCTATTGCGAAGCACGGGTACAGCAACTAGTTTTAAATAAATTGATCCTTTAAAACAATTTAATTTAATGATTCTTAAGTTTAGATATTTTGTTTCTTTAAATATGTAGGCTACAGCCAGAACTGCTGTATTGTCAATATCTTAAAATGTAATTATAGTTTTCTTTTTCAAAACTTGTTGTAGCTAAACTGTCTAGATTAGATAACACAACACTCTCTGAAGTACAGTAGTTATCCTTATCATGGAATTACTCTTATCTATCCATGGTTATTGTAATAGTCCATAAAACTTGCAAAGTAAAGACAATACATGATAACACCAGTAAAGATTTATAACATTCAACATTTTTAGAGATATCTTTTCATTTAAAATGTACACTATAACTTTATTGCGTCAATGCACAGCCTACAGAACGACATACTCTAAATACCTCAAATATTATTTACTCTTCATAAAACTTAGATGAGCTTTACAGAACATTTAAATGGCCACTACTCCGTTGATTTTCCTGTCCTCCATTACGTCTTGAAAATTAATCACAAAAATGTTTAATGTTGTTTGATGTCATCAATCTCAAACTCAAAAATATCCAATGCCCTGTTTAAACTCTGCATTACAGTTGTCTCTCAATATTCTGGTAATACATCGCTTGATATTCCAACACACTCAGTAATGAAGACTCTGTGATATATTTGTCTTCAGTTGACAGCTGAAGAATACTGCAGTTTGATTCCTATTGTAACAGGAGTCTCGTATCTTTCTGGTCCACTCCAATTCTGCAGTTATATTGAATAGCATAAGTACAAAATGTAGGCCTACTTTATTTGATTATTGTTATCAAGGCCAGTTTAATGAGTAAGGAAAATACACGGTTGCGTAGGGTGCCAATCAAAAGGGGGCGCAGCAATGTTTGCTAACCTCACGGTGGCGCTCCTATCTCTGAACTATATTGGACTTGTGTACACTGTAGGCCCATAAGGTTCAGCCTCTTAAAGCATTATGCATTTGAAGCTATGGGTTGGAATTGAAATGTTGATTTACATCAGGATATTGTAGAAGTATAAGGAATTAGGGTAAATCGTACATCGTAAGGTGGGGCCCTTGCGCATACTGTCACTACTTGATTTATTGTTATTCCCAAATAACAATAATCACAAATAATGACAAATATACTTGACTGTCGGGCACCCCACCTTATGTCTATGAAATGAAATGTCTACTTGGACCCTTTCGGCAGACATTCGAACGTTTAGGACGTTCTTAAGCATTTATATTATATTTACTTTTATTTTCTAATGTACCTATCCAGAGATAATCCTTACTTACTGCCGTATATAAGTTTTTTTTAGGGGGAGGTGCGCTGGAATGTTGTTCGCTTACACTAGAAAAATGTTTAGAACCAGCCCTGATTGTTATACTTAATTTATGACCTTTTTAGCACTTAAAACATGTAATACAGGTAGGCCTAGTTGAATTTAGATTTAATAAAGATTATATGATTTTGGCACCCTTTGGCATAATAGCATAACAGTAACGAACAAACCTAAGTATCTGCCTTAAAACTAATGATTTACAAAACTTGTATGTCTTTCACCCTATTTTATTTGCATTTGAATGAAAAAATTAAGTTCTCTGTTTGTATTTTGAGTTTGTTAATAATCATTGAACTATTACTTTAAGTCTCCTTGACTTTGAAATCTACGAATAGTTGAGAAGAATCCGACCAAGTTCAAGATTGACAACAAGGAACTTACCAGCCGTAAGAACTTCATTGAACAAACTCGAGAGGAAGTTCGGGTATGTTATTTGTACATTTTATTGTCATATACATTTATAGCAAGTAACCTTTGGTAAGAGAAAGAGGTCTTTTGTTTTTGGATACATCAGACAAAAACTTAGTTAATTTATGTAAAAATAAGTAGATCAAAATCTGAATTGGAATGAACATGTGCATAAAATTTTGGTCTAGTCATAGTCATAGTTCTTTATTCATTTTTTTGTAAATAGTTTGTACAGTAAATAGCGTCATATATAATACAATACTAAATCTAATTAAAATCTACTATCTCCAATTTACCAAGCAAAAATGAAAAGTAATAACAATAATATTTATATCTACAGTAGGTTATATCTGGGAGGTGGAAAATTCTTTTATGGAGTAAGGGGCCAGTTGTATAAAATATTCTTTCAGTAATTTCCTGAACTTATTTAAATTATTTTCTCTTCTTCTGTTTTCTGGAATATATTTAAGAAAAGTATATCCCATGTAGGTTGGTTTCTTTTCAAAAAACTTTAATCTATGTGGCAGGATAACCTCATTTCTCTTTCTAGTATTATACAAATGAGCTGGGGACTTAAAATTGATAGTTGTACAATTCTTTGCAATGAGAGTAGTTTCAATAATATATTGCTCGTAAACAGTTAAAATATTTAGATTTTTGAAATGTTCTTTTGCTGAATTAATAATTTAATAATAGAATAATCTATCTCATACTTACTCCCATTAGCTTATAACAAACTAATTACTTTTCACCATAACTTTTACAGCATTGGGAGTTGTACCATTTTACCATTTTGATTAGAGTTAAAATGACCATAACATAACCAATTTCAATCATAATTGTTTGAGCCAGTTTTGTGAAAATCCGATTGAAAAATATTAACGAATTGGTCTAATTATCGGGATAGTACTGCGGATAGCCGTAGTACTCGCTAGTGCGGACGTAATTCAACACCAGGGAGTATCATATCCACAGTGCATGCCTACAAATATCCACAATTTGGATATTTATAGGCACCTATGGATATTTATAGTGACCTCCTATAAGTCGGCCTCTTAGAAAACGACCCGCGCGAAATGTTAAGCGCATGTAGCGGTAACGGCGAGGGATGGTATGTTCCTCCTCTCCGCCAATGGCCGTTTTCACACTGCACGACACGACACCGACACGGCGCCGCCCCAGTGTCGTGGGAGTTGGAATCCTGTGTTACCAAATGGAACTGCACTTAATGATATAATAACATTTCATGATGCTCAAATATTGATGCGATTTAGGCTATATAATATTTTTTGCAGGACCTATTTTTCTCAAGTTATGAAGAGCGTAATTGTTTACATTTTGATCTGCTGTATAATTTAATTGCTGTTAATATTTATAAAAGGTTGGGGGTGGGGTGGCAGCTGAGTGGGGGAAGAGCCATAGTCTGTCGCACTCCCACAGCTCGGTATCTCTCTCTCGCACCAATGCTACGACGAGGAGGACGCTTTCTAAACAGCCGACCTATAGTAGCTGGATTACAGTATAGGGGGAGTGGGAGAAAGTAAAATTGGTATAATATGTAAAATCTCATAAAAAAATTAATTATTTATTTCAGTGCATGAAGGAAAAGATGAATTTCACACGAGGACGAGACCGTGATAGGACTGCTCGCCAGGTAAAACACCACAGAAACTTCTGTAACTGTTATTATTTTCAAGTAATCATAAATTCATTAGATTGTGTATATTTGTAATTTTGTACCTGTTATTATTCATATACTAAATATGTATATACTAAATTGTAGATGTAAGCAGCAAAACAACTGTTAGTTATTAGCAAGTAAATTCCAGCCTGGCTCAGAGTGAACCAAGATTCACATTAGGAAAAATATTTACCCAAAAGCAGTAGCATTAATAATATCTCCAGCTTCAAGAACAAACTTAAAGAACATTTACTGATAAGGCCGGTATACTGTGTTGATGAGTATCTAAACCCTTGAAGATTAGCCTATACCTTTGCGACCACGCAGCAGAAGCGCTTCTAGTGGGAGACCAAGTATCAAGTAGCAAACCAAAAGCGAAGTTATAGCTGTTGCACCCCTTGCCTTCATGGCATAAACAGGAGTGGAAATTTCCCAAACTTTTGGGTCGTACCTGGGGGCTATCAATGTCACTTAAAATATGCAAGTAAGGTTGTAAAAACCATTAATAAAACATGAGTTTTATTTGTTTGCTGTTACTGCTTGAAATAAATAACAAAAACGTCTATCGATTTTCAGCCGCTGTTAGAGAACAGCCCTGTGAGGGTGGCGACATCACACGGCACCACCAAGTACTCCAAGCTGGAGAATGAGGCTGACAGTCCACAGCGGCACTTTCTCGACTCTACGCTGGCTCAGCAGAATCAGCTGATCAACGGACAAGATGACACCATGGAGCGCATCAGTCACACCATCGGCTCACTCAAGACTGTCAGTCGCCAGATAGGCTCGGAACTGGACGAGCAGGCTGTGTAAGTGTCTATTTGTCCAGTCACACCCTGATTGTAGCCAAGTTCTTATAGTGCTCGCCTCACAATCAAAAGATTGCTGGTTTGATCCTTGAGAATAGTCAGTAGCTTTTTAATGGTTCAAAACTGGCCCTAGCTGCCTTTTTCATTGGGCTGAACTAGAATAAAGAAAAAAACTGATTTAAATGATTGACAAATCTGCACAGGTAATCTTATTTTATTTTACACTCATTGTGCATTCATATTCAATGTAAAATATGTGACTTTGGGTCAATGTCTTTAAGGATTGATTGACCCCTAAATACATAAAAATGCAAATAATGGTGTCAAGATACAATAAATCCACATAAAACCTATAACTAATCAATCTTAGACCGCTAGGTCGGTTTGATAGACGAGGGTCCTTAGACATTATCTCTAGTCAGGCGACAGCACGGATGAACAGGGGTCAGAGTCCTGTTTAAGACAGGTCTGTCACACAGCTACTGAGGAATACACTGTGGTAAAACTTATTTTATAAGAAAGAGAAAACGCCATTTATACATCATAATTATGCATGATTAAATCAATTGCTAATTTGTTGAACTTATTCTATTAAAACGTTAATATTTAAAGAGTTATATCAGTTAATAATATACTGTTGTTGTCTTAAGATGCTACTGCACTAATGTGTCTAGAACTTACTTTTACACGCATGCTCATTTATGCAGAATTTTTAATACACATATTATTTTAGAATGCTGGACGACTTTGGCACAGAAATGGAAAACACAGAGTCAAAATTAGACTCAACAATGAAGAAGGTGGCTAAGGTTTTGCACATGTCTAATGGTAAGTGTCTAGTATTTTTCTTGTATTCAAGCTAATTTTATATTTGCCGGTACCATTGACTTACTACTTTTTTACTAAAAAAAGAACATAGTTCTGTGAGCTAGTGTCCCAAACTAAATTTTTGGGATCCTGGAAAATCATTGTCCTCTAAAATCATCGCGGCTAAAGCATGAATTTTTCTATAGCAACATTTTCACAGACGTGTTCTGCTCAGCTCGACATGGAATATTTTCTGTAAAATTCTCTGAATTTTGGTAAAATCCAAATATCCGAATGTGTAACAGTGTATTTGATTCGGATGATTGGAGTTCTACTGTATGTTCTTTTTAAATAATAAGCTGGAGACAGCTAGTCCGTGTTGATAAGATGTCTTCTTCTGTATCCAAAAGTCAATAAATATAGGATGGAGAGGACACAGCTAACTCACCTGATGAAAGGTTGCAGACGAGTCAAAGAACACATAAAATCACACACATAATATACTTAAAATTTCGCCTCTTTCAGAGGCTTCTTCAGAAGTAGGACCTACTTCCGAAGAAGCCTCTGAAAGAGGCGAAATATTAAGTATATTATGTGTGTGATTTTATGTGTTCTTTGACTCGTCTGCAACCTTTCATCAGGTGAGTTAGCTGTGTCCTCTCCATCCTATATTTATTTTCACCACACTGACAGTTTTTTGCTGTATTATATACGTTAATTGGTGGCTGAAAGTTACGTTTTGCTGGCCATGCCAGCTGTCATCGTAATTTGGGGACCGAGCAGGTTTTTACAGGCCGGGGCCGCAAAATCAGCTGTCCGCTTACTTACTTAAAACATGAATGCATTTTAAATACACAATCAACATCCATAGCATTGCAATAGAATTGTGTTATTTTCACCGTTGCCTAGCAACTATTTATTTTTATTTTTGCTGATTCCTCAAATTATTTCTTCACATAACCTTAAAGTTGTAGTTGTGTTGACTATCAGTGTGCATTATTATAGTGGTGAATAGTGGTAATAGGGTAAAGTGTGGTGAAAAATAGCGTTCGTACCACGGACCGAAATGGTTTTGCAGCTCTCGATCGTCTAAAACTAATACTAAAAACTATCTCGAGCCGGCAAAACCTCATTTTCGGCCCTTGGTACGAAATATACTATTATTTAATCCAAGCTAAATGCTTTTTCCTAAAAACATGTATCCAAAAGTCAATAATTCTAGTCCTACATTTGAGTAACCTCACACTAGGGTTATGGCCTATTTATTACAAATTAAATTATTTGAAATTTTTGTTTGAATTATTTTATGACCTGCCCCTTCGGAAAGGATTAATGGCCAAACTATTATTGTAAACCACCTTTCAGCAGATTAAAACATATCTTGCTTCTTGTTCACTTCAGGACATTAGGAGTGAGATTTAGTATTCTTATTCTTGGATTATTAGCAGATTTTACCTCAGAATTTACAGGTCAGGATAACCAATATTTGTATTTGCAGACAGGCGACAGTGGATTGCCATCGCTGTGCTGTCCTGTATACTGCTGGTCGTAGTCATGCTACTCATCATTCTCTGAGTAGCCACTACTCTTCCGCCTCAAGACTACTTACTGACTGTCATGTGATCTCAACTTAACCTAGTTTCGGTTTTGGTGCATGAAATTTGTTTTTAGACCAATCTTAATTCCACTCCTAAATTTAGTTTTCAGCTTTCTAGTCGTTTTTTTCTTGTAGATTTGTAAAAAGTCATTATCACTCAGGTGATCTGTAAATATATTGTTACTTGTGTAAGATTTGCGATGACTTGCCTGGTGACGGCAGAAGACATTGTTGGTGATTTAATGTAAGAAGAGGTATATAAATTATAAACATAAACATATATTAGTGTTTTTGTAATGTTTCCAGTGTTGTTGAATTTTAAATTTTTTAAGCGCTACTGTAAACCTAAAAAAAACTAAAATTTTATGTCTTTGGTTGTGTTAAGAATTTTTAAACCGTTCACTTTTAAGTAGTGATGGGTCGATTCCAAAATTATTCGATTCCGATTCTGAAATTTGGGATACGATTCTCGATTCCGGGTTCGATTCCGAATACCATGGTTCAGGATGACAAAAAGGTTTTTAGAAATTAATTATTAAATAAAACCCAAACATTATTAGAACGAAACACACAATTTTAATGAGGATAAACACAATAATAAATAATAATAATAATACAATAACAGTGAAAGAAAACGAATGAACGTAAACCGTAAAATTAAACCTACAGCACATTTTTTCAAACATTTTTAACAATGACTTTTACTTTTAAATATAGGCCTAGAGCTTATAGGCCTACAAGTTTACAATTACCACTCAACGTGAACAAAACTGATTTTAAAAATAATTTTAAAGGTTTTTAGAAATTAATTATTAAAACCCAAACATTATTAGAACGAAACACACAATTTTAATGAGGATAAACACAATAATAATAATAATACAATAACAGTGAAAGAAAACGAATGAACGTAAACCGTAAAATTAAACCTACAGCACATTTTTCAAACATTTTTAACAATGACTTTTACTTTTAAATATAGGCCTAGAGCTTATAGGCCTACAAGTTTACAATTACCACTCAACGTGAACAAAACTGATTTTAAAAATAATTTTAAAGGTTTTTAGAAATTAATTATTAAAACCCAAACATTATTAGAACGAAACACACAATTTTAATGAGGACTAGCTGTGTACCCGTTCTACGCACGGGGATCTTATAATATTCAGTTGAAACCTTCTTATATAACGAACAGCAGTTGGTTTGCATATTTTAAGATATGCTGGCCAAACTATTATACATAGCTTCATTTTATGTTGTTTTTTGTTGTTCCGGATCGGTATGACAATCAATAAAAGGTTAAATTACCTCTGTGTCTGCCGGTCGATCCTATAACGGTAGGCTTACTTTTATTTTTACTATCTGATCTCGTTTGCATGGCTCAATCACGTCCTGGTTGAAGTTCGTTCGCTACGCTCACTCACCTGTATGTTGGAGCTCGTTCGCTGCGCTCACTTTCCTTCAGGTTAGCTCGTTCGCTACGCTCACTTGCCTTCAGGTTAGCTCGTTCGCTACGCTCACTCGCCTCCAGGTTGCAAATTAGCTGTTGTCATAAATGTAAAAGAAATAATAGTGCTAGTGCTGCACCCTGTTGGTAATCCTTGTAACTTTAATGCTATTGAACATCACAGAACAGAACCAACTTGTTTAATTGAAACAGCTGTTAAGATTCAATAATTTCATTTCTCATAAGGTTAACATGGGCTTCCAGAAATTCCACGTCAAAAATCGACAAAAACTTGATTTTCAAGGGTTTACTGTTAAATATCTAACTGTCTCATATTCGATGAAATACGTCTAAAACCATCTCATATATGTATAGTATTTGGAAAATAAGTTTCAGGCGGGACAGTGCTATAGTTATTGAGGAGTAGTTGTAATAAAGTGCGTATTTTAGCGTTACCAAGAGAATGACAGATAGACAGACAGACAGACAGACAGACAGACAGACAGAAATTGAGATAAGGTTTGATTCGGTTTCTCTGACCTATGAAATGTAAAAATAACCAAAAAGTTCATTATTCTAAGCAATGTACAGACAAAACTCTAATTTTATTTATATAGATAAATACAATAATAATAATAATACAATAACAGTGAAAGAAAACGATGCAATGCTTCAGTTAGTAGCACGAATACTAGAAAAATACCGGTATGGATCATGAACATAAACAAATGACGTCGTTGGCCCGAATCCTATACGAATAGCATTGAACATATGTTTTGGGTTTGGCAGTTCCATTTAAGCAATGTGAAATAATGTTTATTTTCGGGCCAAAAATGTCATTTGTTTATGTTTATGAATTTATGATCCATACCAGTATTTTTCTACTTTTCTAGTATTCGTGGTTAGTAGCCTTGGTACCGCTGGTTGATCTAAATCGATGCTCATCCTTTCCTTGTATGTCTTGTGAGCTGTGACGCAATGCTTACTCGCTCCAGTCCAGTTTGCCCGAATCTCCAATTCCCATCGGTTAACTGTTTCTCATTGTACTAAGCCTCTGTATTGAGTTCGCATCTATTATTTCATTTGCAATACGCTCGCTCTAGTCTCGCTGACTTAGTGACGATACGACCAGAACTTGTTGTTTGCTCAGAGTTGCAAGCAAATCATTAGCAATCTGAATTTATTTTGTTTCTTTGTTGCTTTATATGACGTTTGTGGCTGATTTTAACCAATTTTATGAAAGAATCGAAGACAGTTGGAATCGATCCCAAACCCACGGAGATTCGAATCGAATGCTCGATTCGATTCCGGCGGAATCGAGAGTATTTTGGAATCGAGAATCGGAATCGGCCCATCACTACTTTTAAGCCATCAAGTGTCAATGTTTTAAATCTAGATTCTATGATTTTGTAACGTTCCTCATCACTGTATGATAAGGCACTATTGTCTGGGTCGCCGAGAGTAATGCTTGCCTTCAAATCTGAAGGCTGCTGGTTCAATTCTAAGTGAAGTTGATTCTGGACCCAGATGCCATTTGTTATTGTGTTGTCCATTAATAGTGCTATCTAACAAAAGGCTGATGTTAGATGGGGCCTAACAAGATCAGGGTCTACACCCTATCAAAAAATATCAACGGCGTAAAAACACACAAAAAAGTTAAATATAACCACTTAGTTTTACAAAATATATTTTTTAACCTGTTTCAATTATCTTATCATGACCTGGCCGTGAAAAATGGTAACTAACAAATCTTAACAAAGCCTTTTTAAAGTTTAAATATTAACGTCTATGACACACCTTTATCTTTGTGCAAAATTTCTCCTACAACAGTACAGTGGTTTTCACCTCGAAGCGAACGTTAATTTACTAGGTTTAAGTTAATTCATATTTTTCTACAAATGAAATAAAATGTGCTTTTTAAGTAAGTTATATTGGGTTAGAACTTTTGTTCTTTTTGTCTCAATAAAATTAAAATAATAACTCATAACAGTAGCGCTTGTATAGTAATTTTGGTTTACACTATTATGTTGTGGCTCATATTCATCTTAGTGTGTTGTGAACGTACCATTTTATATTTGAGTTTGTAGTTTCAAAAGATTACGATTTTATGATTATAATTAGCCTAATTTAAAAGTTGGTTAGAAATTGTACTATGATTCTTGGTAGGTTTAATCGAGAGTTAAAATATATAAGATATACCGGTTATTTTGTTGCATTTTAATCTAATTTTCTATTTTGCAAGGTTAGTGTAGTTTTTAAACTGAATCCAAGGAATACACTCATGAGTGGGGAAACTTTTTTTTTTACTGTTACTCAAGTATTGAAATAAATATTTTGTTGAATGAGTTTCTTATAAATCATGAGTCTAAATAAATTGTATTTTATTGTAAAAATGTTAATATTTTTCTAAAATTTATTTTGTATCCTGAAATACAGCTCCACATTCCTGAGTCCAAGACTGTTCAAAACTTATGACTATTTTCATTCTGTTTTATCCATATGTATGCCAAAGTTAAGTGTTGATTTTTATTTGAGCTGAAGATATCTATGTTCTTGTATTAGAGGTTGTAATGATAAATTGATGATAAATGTATAACAGGGTCGAATGTGTCCTGGTTGTATGGATATTTGCTGTAGAAAACTATACAGGATTAAATTTGTATATCAGTAGAAGGCCAAGTAGACTGAATCTATTATTTATACATTGTATAGCCGGCAGATAAATTATCACAAGGTTTTATGAATGTAAACTATTATGTTTTTATGTGCAATAAATCTATATATAAAAAATGTATTAGTTAATATCAGGGCTAATATAAAGTACATGTTAGTTTATAAATCAATGATGATATGTAAAATATAATGAATTAAACTTAATTAAATCTTGATTATTGTTATCAATTATAACCAACTAAGTCAATAAATTCTAAAAAATATAACTATAGTACATGAAGAGTAGTACATACATTACAGAGCACCTGCGGAAATGAGTTTAGTGGCAACTGGTACGCATATCTTGTTCCAAGGGTGGAGAAACAAAATGCCTAAAGACTATTTTGAGGTCTAAATCAGAATTCTATTTCTAAAACATTTAAAATAGGCTACACTAAATATGTCTCTCGCGTAAATATAGTAGCAAAAATGTATGTTCTCAAATAAAAAAAAAACATGATTTAAATACATTTGCTTTCTTAGTCTATTAGCTATATTTATTCAATCTTATCCCACGACAGTGACGGGAATAATTACCTTAATTCCCAGGGAATACTTCCATGAAATGTCTAAGCCGTTTACCTTTCATGGGTTGTGTGAGCTGGTTGCAGCTTCACAACTATTCACATTTGTATTCGAGGTTTATCAGAATAGTGAATTATATGTCAAGTTTGGTGATGAATGTAATCCTGTGAAAAGACTAATATTTACAAAATCCCTGTCTAGCGGGCATGTGCTGCCATGGTGGTAAAGTGCAGCTACTATCTTTGCAGCACCTACCTGAACCTTAATTCAATCTGGTCATGGGCAACCACCCTGAGCATACACATGTATAAAAATTTGAACGAATAGTGTTTTTGACCTCCAGGGACATCAAAATGAAAAAAGTATATCGGTTCCGGCTCCAGGTCTTACCAGGCCACCTAAGGTAATAGGTACTTAACTATAGGGAAATTCACTAAAATGTGAAACAAAATCCAAATATTTAGTGTAATTAGGGATCACTATAGGGCAGCAAGCTGGTCTAGTGGTTAGAGTGTTGGACTTCGGTCCAGGAGGTTCCAGATTCAAATCGCACCAAATCACTAATGGATTTTATGTAAGTGATAATGCCACAACCCCTAGGTCTAACCTGGAGTAATGTGAAAAACAGTCCTAAGCTCGTGCCTAGCGTCCTAGGACAAAAAAATTAGGGATCGCTTACAAAATATGGATAAAAGAATGTAAAAAATATGTTTATTATTCACAAACAATTGTGGCAACAGTAAACAAATGCTTAGCTACGACCAAGTCTTATAAGATTAAATAACATTTTATACAGCCCTGTACCTTGAATGCGGCAAAAAACCAATCTATTTTCTGCAGCGCACTGTTCAGCGACAGGTCGTCTGAGGGTGGTGGCAGTAGGCTCGTTAGAAAGCCTAAACAAATCTATTTTTGTAGTCTCTGCAGTGGTTGCCTGAGCTATGTGCAGTTGTTATCGAGTCGTTTTTAAAAAGTAATGATTCGGTCATTACAACTCAGCGGAAGTTCTGTGCATTCATTCAATTAGGTCGACCTCCATGTCGACATGGAGAGGTTCCGTCGTGATTATCTGTATGGATAATTAACAAAATTAAACATATCATTATTCTAATTAATCCTTAGGGATTCAATTTAACATCAAAATTTGTTAAATTTTGTGGTCAGAAATGTTCAAACAAGCCGCTTGTTTTCGGGCGGGCCTACGAGAACCGTTTTCCACGGCAGCACTAACTCTATCAAATGTTAGTTGTCTGGTGTCTGATCTGACTTTGGATGGCCTGTCATCTTCCTTTTGAATGTAGAAACCATTGTTCTGGTGTTAGTAACCTACCGCATGATTGTGCTAAGCAACGGAACTTCTCCATGTCGCTCTAGTTGAAAGTACACACGGAACTGCCGCTGAGTTGCAATGAATGAATTCACTACTTTTTAAATACGACTCTGACTCAATAACAAACGCACGTAGCTCAGCCGACCACTGCTCTATGACTGCTTATAAATGTTATTGTGTAGGCTTTCCAACGAGCCTACCTCTACCACTCTCAGTTGACCTGTCGCTGAACAGTGCGCTGCAGAAAATAGATTGTTTTTTTTGCCGCACCCTGTAGTACACAAAACTACTCTGTTGTGTTTTGAACAATTTTCTTATCTGTCCTGAAAAGATAACTCTTGAACCTCAATTCAACTGTAAAATCTTCTTTACTAACAGCTTCTTCAGTATCTTGTTTACCTCGTTTGCCTTTTTTTGTTCCCATTTTACTCACCGTTTCTGATTTGATTCCCTCTGGAATTCTCACTCTAACTTTCCCACTTTGACCAAAACCACCTTCAATCACCCCCGATTCTCCTGACGAGAGACTAACTTTTAATCCACTAAACAAATCTATTCTCGTCTCCTTCTTAAACATATTCTTACAAACCACTTCATAATCATTCACGATCCTATCGACTAACCCTGTTTTGCTCTTGTTCTTATAAATTTTAAATCCTGGTAAAACAGTCTGGGTGTAGTTTTTGTCACTAAACACTTCTAAGATTTTCCCGTAAAATGCAATCCGACAACTGTTAGTATGCACATCCATGTCTAGTTTTGAACTAATATACAGGGAATTCGGCACAACCAAAATGGGCTTTTCAAATTCGATTAGAGCAAATTGCGTGCCAACTACTTCATCACTTTTTTCCTTGATGTCTTGCAACGATTCCCGATACAAATACTCTTCCTCTTTATCAAACGAGGTTTCAATTTGCAGATCAGTTCTGCAGAATAAAGTAACTTTACCGATGACAGTGTCATGACCGATGCTTATGTGAAACTTAGCCTTGGATGCTATTGGTCCTCTGAAGTACCTAACTTTGTGTATGGTTGAGACGACACAATGCACGGTAGTCAAGTAGCCTGGGGTGCAGACGATACCTCGCTCCAGCAGTTTCGGGTCGAATTGTGTCACACAGACAGCCAAGCGATCACCAGCTGTGCCTCGCTCCACATTGCGGCGATAGATCTGGATTGACTTGACTTTCTTGACTAACTTTAATGAAGGAATTTCAACGGCCTGGAAAAAACAATTGAAAATTGTAGTTTTGCAGCTTGAATGAAAAATTTATATGATAGCCTTTAAGAAAAGTAATAGAATTGATCTGAAATCACATTTGCATTGAAATTACATTAAAATTGGCAAGTGGCTTACACTATTGTAGTTTATAAATTTCTACGTATTTATAAAAGTTTGCCTCCTTATAGTTATGAAATGTTAATTCTGATAGTTTTGCCAAAACTAATAAGTTTCTTGATCAAATTTTTAAGTTATCAACAATTTATAATTTAAGTAAGTTGAGGAAAAGTCGTTTTAAATATAGAGTTCTTTAAAGTTATTATATTTTTTTTCTCTTCCCTAATCATCTGACATTATTTTATTATTTTTCTTTTGTTCGTTATTTTCAACAAAACAATGTAGAACCGCAATATAGGTTAAGTAGTTTCTTATAAGTACTTGCTTAAGTATTCCGGTCTCCACGATAACTTTGAATAGGACTTTTTGCAGAAATAACAGAATGGTATCTATAAATTTATAAGTTACACGGACTATATTTGTCGTTCAACTTACATCATTAATCCGGACTGTTCCTTGCCACAGAGTTCCTGTCATGACAGTTCCTGATCCGCGGATACTGAAGCAGTGATCTACGGAGAACACCACTGGATCGTCCGGACGTCTGTCTGGCAAATAAACTTGTTTCTCCAGTGCTTCCTGCAGAGCAGTAATACCTACAACATATTTCATATGTAGAAATGTTATAGGCTAAATTGTTTTGTGACATGTTGATACAGGAGGCCTAGTTCTCTTAGAATTTAATAGATACCAAAACTAGGCGAAACCCTCCGAAATTGACGATTACTATTGAGGTTTCAAGAAAAATCATTTTACTATCAATCAGTGATAAATAACGCCTTTTTTAAATAGTTTTTGGTTGTTCTTGATACAGCAGCGTGCTTTAGGTACGTTCGATCTTAATAATCAAAACCTCAAATGAAAGCTGGTATTACACTAAAGGTTCTTTCATCAAAACATATAGGACAACGTAATTAGAGTTGAGTAAAACTAAAATTAAATTCCATATCTGAGAAATAATCACATTTATGTTTTTCGATAGAGTAATATACAGTATCTTAAACATAACTGATTCAAACGATCAATATCACAAATGAAAGCCTTTACTGTAGGAGTATTTTAAGATCAAGACATATAGAATAACTAAAATAAAAATGGAGTTACATATAATTGATTGCAGATGAGTCCAAAAGTAATAGTAATTATTGTTGATTCGTGATTCAGCAGCTTCAGGTACATCGGATCTTAGTAATCAATACAGTTGCTCAAATGAAAGCTGGTATTTCACTGTACGTTCTTAGACCAAAACATATAGGAAAATTTAGGCTAATTAGAACTGGTGAAATACATCTTTTTAATTGAAGTAAGAATTTGAAAACAATCAAATTTTTTGGTCAAGTAATACAGTACCGTAGATAAATGAATGATGATGCTTTATGGCAAATATATGTGTGCATGCCTTTAATAAACTATGAAAACTTTGAAAATCGGTCCGGTAGAAGAGCCAAACAAACTCGGAACAGAAAAACTAAATTTAACTCCTTAAGAAATGTACAGGGAGAAGTTGCTTTTGTGCATACTCTAAATATCCGTCAGATCAAATGAATGCCAATGCCTGAAATTATGAAAATCGGTCGGGTAGAAGAGCCAAACCGACTGGGAAAAGAAAAACCAATTATTTTTCAAATATGTTTTTATAATTTGACATTTAGGCTTACTTACTACTCTGCCCAAACATAATAATCACTGATGTTGCTATTTTACTTTTAATGTGTCAGACAATTAGATTTGAATGTAGTAAAAAATAATCAATAAAGCTAACAAAGTATGTACCGGTAAAACTATCATTATAGGCTACTTACAATATTTATATTCAAATATTTACCAATAGATGAGCCGTCTGCTGGATTAGCTGAGACTGGAATTATTGCACAGTCTTTGAATACAGTGTCTGCCAAAGTCAACTTCATCTTCTTTGTAACCTGCAATATAACATGGAATAAGAAATCATCCGTTAGAGGCATAAAAATTTGAAAACTTTAGAATTTGAAATTTTACCGTTTATATTTGATAAGTTTACAGTATTTAAGTTGAGGCGTTGCAAGCCAAGAGACGAATAAGGATTTATAAAGTGTCTCAGTGTAGTCCATCAAGACGTAGGACAACCATAGAACTACAACAAGTGGAACACCGACCCAAGCTGCGCTAGGAGCTTGAAAAAGAGCCGGCCCTGCTCAGCTACCCCCACCACAAGTCAGTGATATGGTGCAGAGTGTATACTATAGGGTACGTGCTTCTAGCCTGTGTTTTATATCACTAGTTTAGTTGTTTAATTAATCACTTAGTTGAAAACTGTTTAATACGATGGCGTGCTGTATACTGCGTGAAAATAAAACTGCAAAAATTATCTTGATACATTGCAAAAAACTAAATATCCCTGCCGCAGCAAACCTGCCGACTAAGAGAATTTCCATTTCTCTGAATGATTTTCAATTGAATCTTGAAGGTTTAACGAGTACCTAGGTTTGCTGCCACAAGGAAACTGAAACTAATAAAGTGTGTTTTAGTAAAGTATTAATAGCTTAGTATAAAATAAATAAATTTGCCTAGTTTGATCAAAACATATCCATAAACAAACAAACTACAACATTTTCAATAAAAATAACATGGGAATTTTTAATTTACATTTTTTTGAATTTTCTCCGTTACCAATAACTGTACAAAAACACTTTGTAATACTAAATTATTTGTTTAATCTCTTTAATATGGTCTATAGATAAATTGGGAAATTTTGTGTTTTGGGGGTCAAAAATGAGAAAAACCAATTTTTACCCCATAAAACCCACCGGAAAACCCTGTTCCCATGGTCCGATCATGCTGGTTCGCAAACTCATTCAAGTTTATCTCGCCTTACACCTTTAAACCAAATTTCATCAAAATCGGACAAAAATTACTCAAGTTATCGCATTCACGGACACATATATATATATATAAATCTCTATATATATATACATACATATCTAAAAATTTGAACGAATGGTGTTTTTGGCCTCTGGGGACATCAAAATGAAAAAGTAAATCGGTCCCGGGCCTAGGTTTTACCGTGCCACCTACGGTAATAGCTACTTCCCTATAAGGAAATTCGCTAAAAGAGATGCTCTGCAAACAAAACCATGTTTAATTTTAGCAAATGAGCTTTCCAATTCACATAATGTCTTCAATAGCAAGAAAATTAAAGTAAATTAAAATTAACAGCATGTTGAGTAACAGTGTTACTGATGCGTTAAAGTTTCTGATAATTAGCATACACTCTGGTTTGGAATTTTTTGTAAGCAATCTAACTTATTAGGATTATATACAGATTATTTGATTTATTGAATACACAAAACCCTTATGACGGCTCAAAAAAATGACCAGTGAGACTAAAAAAGGTATTTTTAAAACTTTGGTTCGATCAATGATCAATTGTTATTCGTCATCAGATAACACAGTTACAATACATCATATTTTTTTAGATAAAGTATATCACATTAAAATGATTGAAACATTCATAATGTTATTGGGTCATTCAACATAACAGTCCTCAGTTGAGTAAAATCTCTCATCCTCAAGCAACTTACACACAGTGGGAAAAAACGTCTTAAATAGTAACATTTTTATATAAATTGGAAATTTGTTGTACAATAAAATTTAATGGTACCGTAACAACAAAGGCTATTGAAATATTTGTGTAATACTAGGCCTAGCCATCATGGTTTTGGTTTATTTTAATCATGGTGTAAATGTAACCTCAACTAAACCTGTATCACAATGTGCAGTCTATCATATCTACATAGGTTAAAATAATAATCTTGATTCATTTAAACCTTAAATACGCATCATGAAGTTTCATTATAAAATACAATTAGAAACAAAATTGACTCAAGATTAATTACCTGATTTTTGTTTTGATAAAAATTGTTTTTTAGCAAGACAATCACGTTTGAGACCCTAACATTTATTAGGTAAAAATTCTAGCTGGCCTTAGTGTTAAAGTCACGGTTTTATTCATGTGTTGAAATACAGTAGGCCTACTTCCCAAACAATGTAGGTACTTTGACAGTTAGAATGTACAGTCAGGTCCCAACTGTCCGGATTCTTCGTTGCACGACACGCCGAAACCGGACTTTTTTTTTAAGCTGTCCGGCCTTGGCGTTGCACGACATGACAAAACCGTGTATATTCAAAGGTGTCACAGTTTAATGTTGCACGCAAGCGACAAACCTGGAAACCCATTAATCTGTCCTGGTTTATCATTGTGCGCGTGTGTCGTCCGACTTTGGTGCGGCCCCACCCAAATATGAGTGAAGGATGAGTGTATAGAATGGAGTGTGATACCTTGTGTAGCTTTGTTACTGACTAAGATCAACTGTATCATTAGTCAGGACATTAAGCTAAACAAGTGATAAGTCTAAATTTTATGAACAGACTATTATAGTTAACAGCCTATTTATTACAAAATCTTACCTTGTCGATTACTTGTTGTCTCTTATTCTCCTCAATTTGATCAATTTTATTCAAGACAACTATCATTTTCGGGCATAGTATTTCTCCAATAACTAAACATTCTGCTGTTTGAGTTTGTACACCTTTTACTACGTCAATCACAAGAATCATCAAATCAATTATCTGAGCCCCTAAAAATTATAACTAATTTTAAAACTCTGTTAAAACATTTTGTAAACATGTTAAATAGGTTGTTGAAAACTTTCAAATCCTCTGGAATTATCCCATCACAAAACAGCCAGTGTTTTTTTTTTATTATTCAGAGTAAAAATGTGCATGAAAATTATTTAGCCTATTGGATATGTAATTGAGTATATATAACTCTGAAGGGTAGGCCTAGTCGCTACTGAAACTAGTGATTTAAAAAAATACTTTTAAAAATGATCATGTACTTACTGGTATAGGCTTTTTTAGGTTTATTTAGTCTTAGAAAAAGGTTTACCGCTGTTAAAAGTAAAAAAGATTTTTTTACATACTTTTTGAAGTTTTTTGAGCTTTTTTGGGGGTAAAATATGGGTTTTTAAAATCTCTTATAACTTATAACTACCGGTACTGAACCAATTTTATTGTTTGATAAATAATCTCATTTTAATGATCTCAGTATATTCTTATTAAGAAATTTTGCAACATTCTTGGTCTCTAAAGTTCTAATGGTGGCTTACTACGGACTGGTTTTTCCTTGTCTTTCATATGCAGTTGCAGTTTGGGGACATGAGTGTGTAAATTTTAAAAGAGTTTTTAAACTACAAATGAAAGCCATCAGAACAGTTTTTAAGTAGCGACGTAGATTTTCCTGTAAAACACTTTTTGCTAACTATAAAATTCTTACTTTTCCGTCAATCTATATCTTAAACTGTCTCGCATTTGTTAAGAAAAATATCAACCTTTTTCAAAATCAGTCTCGCTCTATCTCCTATGGTTTGAGAAGCCGGTCCGATTTGGACAATCCAAAGCACAAAACTGCGTTTTTTGAAAATAATTTATTTTAATGGCATTCAACTGTTCAATGCACTGCCCGCTCCCCTGAAGATGGAAAATAGTGTGGACAAATTTGGCAAAGGGGTTAAGAGTCTTCTTTTGTCACGCTGTTGTTACAGTGTAGAAGACTTTTTAAGAAATCAATGATTTTTAGTTTTTAGATTTTATTTATTAGAAATATTGTTTTTATTTGTAAGAGAAATTTTGTTGACGCTATTATGCAGTTTAACGACTGTCAAAAATAAAGATATTTTAGTTTGAGTTTAAAGAGCAAGAAAGTACTAACTTTTTGTACATGTAGCCTCTTACTCATATTTTTTTTTCAATTACCGTATATTATGAGTTAGGCCTAATGGTTTCATAAATATATTTTTTCAATTCCTACCGGTACCTATGTAATTAATTTTATTTTAATGAACTTGTATTTATCCTATTACAATATCCATGCACAAAAAGCTGCTTTATAACATAAACAATGCGTGATAACAATTTAATTATATTAGCTTTAATACTTAAAAAGTTATAAGCAGTTGTATGTAAAAAAAAAACAGAATTTAAAGTTGCGGAAAACAGCGGACTAGTTACCTATAGGCCTACTTAGTAGGCTAACTATAGAAACAGGTGCGCGCACACCACTTCAAATATTGTTTCACAGTTTTCAAAATATATAGGCTATTATACTTACAGTTATGTTGTGTTTTTCTGAAATCCTAAACAGCATAATAAGTAGAACGATAAAGCGATGCAGCCAAGCAGTTATTATTAATTAAAATATAAGTTTATTTTATTGTTGTGTGTAGGTTTAACTTACTGGTATATTGTTTAATAAGTTTATTAGGCCTAAAATTTACTGTCTTAAACTTTAAACTTTAGGCCTAAGTTTTTAGTCTTTTCTTATCTAGGTTTGGTATAAAACAAGGAACGCCTGTTTTCTAGACACATGTTACCGATAAGTAACTTACCTACTTAATTTAATCCTAAAGCGTTGACCCAACAGATATGTATAATAATAACCCTATGTAACAAAATGAATTTGATGATACTTAACTTGTCTTACAAGAAAACACAGCCCCTCCCAGTAGGGCCTAAGTTAAGCCTAACTTAACTTGGCTGCACTTTACTTTAGGTCCTACACTCATTCGAATGAAAATATTGATTATTCGATTGTTTCATTCGATATATCGTTTGGTTAGTTAGGTTAGGTTAACCTTACTCAAATAACCAAACGATATATCGAATGAAATAATCGGTTAATCGATATACTTATCGATCGATATTTTCATACGAATGAGTGTAGGACCAAAAGTAAAGTGCAGCCCTTAACTTAAGTAAATTAAAAAAAATTAAGTTAATAACAAACTATTTGCCTTCCTATGTCAGATAGGCCTATCCATGGATAAGATTATTTTTGTATTTGATTGACCTTACCTCCAATAATCGTCCTTATAAGGGACGCATGACCTGGGCAATCTACGAAGGTGTATTGAAGTTTATCATAACTCGTTGTTCCATGAAGGTCCAATGTTTTGGGGAAGTCAATGAGTAATGAGCTGAATCCAAGGTCTATAGTAATGCCTCTCTCTTGGGACTGTGGGTTTTTATCAAAGCATGCTGTGCTAGAGGTAGAACTTAAAACCTTTGCAAGAGAAGTTTTACCACTATCAACATGTCCTAATATACCAATATTGAGATTCAATACACTCATTGTCTCGATTTTTGTTGCAGTGTAAGTAAACCACACATTGTCTGATTCAATTCTCATTAAAATTATGTAAACATGTCTTCTCAGTCAAGAACATATAAGTTAATGTAGCCTACTAACCAAAAAATAACACTGATTTGGGCCAAGTGAAATTAAATTAAATTGAATTAATTAATCTATGGCGAAAGGAAACCAATGCATCAAGAATTAAGGTAATTATCACTAATTTTTCTTACACGGTAACTGAAAGAAGTTATTAATTAAGTTCTATAATCTTGCTTTTATGGATTAAATAGCCCTATCTCATCTCTGTATGTACAGTACACTGGACACTCATTCCCAAATGTGAGGTTATGTTTTTGTTTTTGAATTGACATTCTTCCTTGTTTTCCTTTTTTCTGTGAGGAGGTTACGACATTGACTTTGGATACTGCAAGTATACTTTTTTATCTGCATAATAGCACTGATTATATCTCTATAGATGATTCATTGCAGTACATATAAGTTGGTATACTATGTTAAAATTATTCTTTATAATGTTATCCCCTGTAGATTCCCTGGAGAATGTATAATCGTTTCTCATCCTTATGGAACAGTTTAAGCCAATTTTATCGTTAATTCTGTCTGTTGCAATTAAGAGGTAGAGTATTTCATTTAATATCCCGTTAACAAATAAAACGATATAATCATAAACAATAAACTCATGCTCTAGTTATCTAACCAAACAGAAACTGATTTGATTTGATATAATCATAAACAATAAACTCATCCTCAAGTTATCAAACCAAACAGAAAAGTACAAATTTGAAATTAACTTGAAATAATAGAGACAACATTTCGTTGACACCAGCCACCAGTTTCACCGCGGTCATTAACTAGAAACAAAAATAGAGCTTCAAAATTTACAATGGGATGGGAAAGTTTACTTTTGTGTTGGTTATAGTCGGTATGATCATACAAAGCAACTTGAACACAAAACTTTTGAGTCCATACTCTTTTATACCGAGGGAAAGAAGTTCGTACTATCACTGCAAAAAGTTTGAAAATGATCAAAATTGTCTGTTCTTTTATCCTCTTAGATGTACATGCACGGTTGATCGTTCACGTTGGTTTTAGAGTGGTTGTATGCCTTTTAACTTTGTTAACAACAATCGCTTGTTTTAATTTTGTTGTTACATCCATCCCACAAATAGAATTTCATAATAAAGTACAAACTAATATTATTAGTAAATCAGCTGATCGCCCAATGAAAATCTTATGGAAATTACAAGTTACAAGTTGTAACTAGAAACTTGTAGCCCCTGGGGCCCATTTCATAATAAACTACAAGTTACAACTTGTAACTTGTAATTTCCATTAGTTTTGCATTGGGTGATCAGCTGATTTACTAATAATATTAGTTTGTACTTTATTATGAAATGGGCCCCAGGTCTCACCTTCCTGGCTCCTGGTTCCTCGCTCCTCCTACAGAGAAAAATGTCGGCTGGTAGACGTAGGTCTCAATTTCATAAAGCTCCTCATAGAAAAGTGTGTTGACTGATGGTAGTGGTAGGCAATGTGTTAATTACCCAAGACAAGAGGAGAGTGGACGCCTCGTCCCGCGCTAGGAAAACCCAGCTTATATAAAGGCGTAATTGGTTAGGTTTTATCTCGGGGGTACCAGACATATAATGCGTATCTCACACGTTGTTCGAGTTAAAAATATCATCTCCATTAAGTTTGTTGTAAGAGTTCAAGAGTAATTGGATATCCAAATAATTAGGTAAAGTATGTTTTAAGTCTGTTAGTGGGTTGTACAATATGTACATTTGTTATGTAAAAGTACGTAGATGTTTGTGGAAAAGCTCATATTATTACAGTACTAATCAAGAGCTGACGTTCGTTTACATCAAAATACCCCGACGCAGCTAACCTGCAGACTAAGCAAATTTCCATTTACAGTACCTGGCTGATTTACTACTAAAATATTGCCTTAAAATTGTTAGATTTATTCCCTATTTAAATGACACAAATTGTAGTGAGTACCTAGGTTTGCTGCTACAGGAAATGTATTTTTATTGAAATGTTGATAGCTTAAAATGAAATAAACGAAATTGCCAGTCTGTTTAAAATACATTCATAAACAATCTAACTACAACAGTTTATTTATTTTCCATAATAATACCTTACCGGTAGGGACTTTTTAATTAATATCTCCAACCGTTGGTCATTTAACAGCGCTTCAATATACAACATTATTTCTTTTTTAAACTTTAAAAATCTGGAAAGAAATTATGAAATTTTGTATTATTAGGGTCAAAAATGCATAAAACCCAGTTCTCATGGTCTGATTATGCTGGTTTGCGAACCCATCCGAATAAATGTAGGTTTACATGTTTGTACCAAATCAAAATCGGACCATTCTTGCTCGAGTTATCGTGCTAATGGACATATATATATAGATATATAATATACCAGCAGAGTACCCGTCCTTCGTACGGGGTTGGCATATAAGTATAAAATGCTTATTGCAGTTATACTAGATCTTTGCGTTTGCAATGTGAGAATACACGGTTTGAGAAAATTAGCTTCCTAAAATTTACGGTATGCTATAGAATTACAAAAGTATTCTGTATTACACATCTACCATAGCCATTATGTTCTACCACTTCACCTACACAATAGAGAAAGATAGATTATTAAAAATTCGCAAAATATCACAAATTATTCATTAAATAAAAAAAACAAACTGTAAATTCCTTTAAATATGAATACTCATAAGGTTAACATGGGAAACTGCAGAGCCACTGGGACGGAGCCCGAAAGGATTTTTGAAATAAGAATATGCCTATATGTTAATCGGGAATGTGAGCTATAATCATGCCAAATTTCAGCCCAATCCGACCAGTATTTTTCGCGTTTACTTGTCACAAACATACATACATCCAAACTTTCTCATTTATAATATTAGTAGGATGAATTCAAACAGATTGAGTTTTTGGCCTCTGGGGACATCAAAACAAAAATGTTAATTGATCCTGGTCTAAAAAAAAAATGCTCCAGGTAAAATGAAAAACTTGGGGCGCATGCAATAGTCAATAAAGGTTCAATAGGTGAATATAATTGATTAGAAGATGATTTGATTAGAATTGATTAGAAGATAATAAGTGAAGATAACTTATAATAAATTAGCATGTGCCCCACGTTTTTCGTTTTAAATCTTTCAAGTCTTTCCACATATTTATAAATTACTTTTTACTTTTTAGTGCATTTAAAAACATGGTTTTTTTTAAGAATTTTTATTTATAAATTATTTTTGCCTATTTGAATTTATAAAGGGATTCTGCACATCTACAGGAAAACACATTTTTAACAGTATGCATAGATTTTCCTGTAGAAAATGATTTTATATATTATATTTAAAGACCTTACGTGTTTACATGTTTGTTTACCTCTAAAATTAGGGATTCTGACAAGGACAAAAAAGTAAATGGAACAAAATGTTACAAAGAAATATAATCTGTCATCAATACACGGTAATTTTGAATCTACAATGAGACAGATCAGTAGATTAAAGTTGAATACAATACAGTATGTACAATATTATACACTGACCTTAAACCTTAACTGGTTGATGGTGTCTTCTGAATTGTGACAAAAAACCTTGAAACTTACATAAAACTTTCAATGTACAATAAATATGTAATATCTAACTATAATACATCATCTTTAACAAGGAATGCATATATTGATCTAACATTGACGTAAAATAAGATGCATTAGCAACTAAATATGAATAACATTTAAAATAAATGTACAATAGGTGAAGTAAAATGAAATGCGATGTAATTGGGTAATAGTGTTTTTTGATTAAAACAGAAAATGTAAAAAAAATGTTCTAAAAACACATTTTTGGATTGAGAAGAGAACTAAACTGTTTTATTTTCTTTAAAAAATGTATAGAAAAATAATCTTATATGGTTAGGCCTGCTTGAGTTTAATCAATATTTAAACTTGATATGAGATTCTCTAAAATATGAAATAGTGTAATCTGTATTTTAGCTACGTACAAATATTGATTTAAATGATTGGTAATAGTATTAATACACATTTATGACATTATTTTAACAGCTCCTGTTCCAAACTATGGCATTCTCTTAGTCTTATGGTTATAACTAAGATATATGAGCAAACATATACATATGGTACAACACGGCGAAACATAATTTTATTCTTAGTATAAAATACAATGTATGTATATAGCTGAAATCAAAACAGGTATCTTTTGACACCTTTAGTAAATAAATATTTCACTGATCAACATGTTTAGAACATCAACTCGAATATACACATAATATTTCTCAAATCTAAAATACAATAAAATAATTTAACAGACTATTATTGTAATATACTCTTATAAACAAGGCTTTTTCGACAGTGAGTTATACCTTAACAACAAAATATTACAGTGATATCAATATTAACAATACACTTACACTACGACCCCCCGCATGTGTGTGCGTTACACTGAGTCCGCCTTCATCACAGTCAGTTGCTCTTGTCTCTCACAATCTATATGGCCAGCCTGCGACGTCATACGCTAAATTTAAATACATGTTTTCCTTAATTAGGATTTTGGTATTGTTATAATAAGTCTTTACCACCCGAAGTTGGTTAATCGACTTTCCGTGTCATATGCCTGTACATCATAGCATACAGGCTCAATAAGCCGTGGTTGAGGTTGGTGTGTGGGGACTCTAGTCCCCCAGCCACCCTCACAGCATACAGGCAAGGTACTTGAAAGATATTTTCTACCTAAATTTGACTGAATTTTCTGATTGGTTTAATGTATTATTATTTCTTAGTCACAATGCCACTGGTCACTTAATAGAGGAGTACCTATTGCTTCATATTGTTGTATTTTACAGTTTATATTTTTTATAGTTTATAGGTCTATTTTACAGCTGTATAGTAAAATTTAATTTTATAAAAATTCAAATTAGAGTAACTATAAAATTAACTTAGAACCTGTTAACAGTTTAAAAAGGTATAATTTCTTTTAAACTGCATTTTAAAGGGTAAATGTTTTAAAATGGAAAACAAAAATTATCATTCAGGTTTAAATCTTCACCAATTTCACAACTTAATCAATTATTGATACCATACTCTTTGTTCAAGGAAAGAACCAACAATAGGTTTGAAAGGTGTAAACTTGAACACTTGTGTAAAACAAAAATCAGGACTTAATACTTTGTCCTTACATTAGACACATACAGGCAGACTCTCAGGGGTTCCTGACTAGAGGGGGGCGGCGCGGGAAGCTGGGGGCTATTCCTCTTGCGAGGGCGGAGGAGTCTCATCTTCCCTCTTCATGTCTTCCACTGGCGCAGACGATGGTGGGTGCTGCACAATGGGCTCCGAGGCGCGAGGTCCACCCTCCCCCGACACCAGGTGTGAAGGGACGTGGGGCGACGGGCCATGCCCCGCTTTGTACGCCTTCTCACCTTTCCGCCACAGGGTTATTTCCTGCATTAGAAGGAAAATTGGTTAACTTGTGTACATTATTACATTTAATATCTAGTGACTAAGTGGAGTTAACGTATCCTATGACATCACATCAGTCAACAAATGTATTTCTATGGAAACAATTTACATCTATCTATCTATATATTAATAGGCAAGCATGTTTCTTTAAAACCTTTTTTCTCAGCTCGTGTGCAATCACAAGGAAAATCTACGCATACTGTTGGGAAGATATTTGCCTGTAGATGTGCAAAATCCCTTTATAAATTAAAATAGGCTCAAAAATAAGCACAAAAAATGAGTTTAAAATTTGAAAAAATTAACATGGATCTTATGGGTTGCCATGCTGGTGGCAAAATAACAATGAAATATAAACAGAAAATCAAAACAAATGGAAGAAACTCCAATCACGTCATGTTTTATTTACAGTGTGGGGGGTGAAAATAGAGAAGTCTGTACATTACATATTTTTGGTTGAGTTTCGACCACTGGACGATCTCTAGTACTTATTTAATCTGAAATTAATCTTCAAGAATAACTGGTGATATTGGAATGAATGAAAATTTGAACTCACCAATATTTTTAGAATTTTTAATTTTATGAGGCCTTTTGCCAGCTATGCTGGTATCATCAGACACATCACAAAACTGAAGGATATGTTTTTTATGTGAAGACTTTGAAAAGATGGAAGTTTATAGAACCATGATGTACGCTTCATTGACACAATGAGATGTTTCTCAGAGCAAGCTGGAACAAGGCCTCATAAAATTAAAAATTCAAAAAATATTGGTGAGGTTTTTATTTCAAATTTATAAATGAAATTAAATTTAGATGCAGTTGTTTACATACAAAATGTATGCTGCTAAAATTTTGCAGTAAAGACTTGTGGAACCTCATGTGATCAGAGAGAGTTCTGATGAGTGTTATCAAATAGATAATTTCTGATGAATACTGACAGAGTTTGTCCATTGGTTGATCCCCATCGCTCCAATCAGTAATCTTGCAGAGGACAACTACTAAGCAACCAAATCAAGACTTTGAAAAGATGGAAGTTTATAGAACCATGATGTATACACTTCGTTGACACAATGAGATGTTTCTCAGAGCAAGCAGCATTGAGAAAATTGAAAATTCCAAAGGAGTTGTTATTGCAAAATGTGTGGGGAACCAGAAGATAAGTGCTCAGGAGAAAATGGTCACATACCATGGAGAAGGTGATGGATTATCGAGAACTTCAAGTGGAAGAAACTGAAGACATTAACAACCGAATTCTTCTAACTGGGGAAAACTTTTAGCAAGGAAAAACAGCAACTTTTGGGAATGTGGAGGAAGAAGATTGATTTAAGACATAATTATTAATATGTAGCCCATTTGATTGTATCATAATCTAACAAGTTGTCATTGATCAACACTGTTAATACTGCACCTGTTGTTTGAAGTAACGACGGTCCTCTTCATCCATTAGCACCAGGTTGAGGAAGTATTTGACGGAGAACTTCTTGTTGATGTCCCTCATGGTGGGGGTGAGGTCGTAGCCAGCTAGGAACACTCGGATAGGGATGCTCTCCCCTCGAACTGGCGCACCGTCCATGATCTCGTACTTGGCGATGGTCTCGTTTTCTGTGAAGGTGTGTGGCCCTGCAATTGGAATGAATCAGTTTTTGGCCATCCCAAAAATAATACACCTCGTGAGTCTAAAGTGACCTTTTTGACATAAGCTTTAGTTAAGTGACCATAACAAAGACAGGGTCACAAATCGATAAGACATTTGACCTGTATAATGAACAATTTTTTTTCACAGTGCACTATTCCTCAAGATAACTAATTTACAGAACATAAATTGTGTACATTGTTCATTTATCTTAATAAATTAGCTACCAATATGGGTTTCTTTGGGGTTTACTATTATATTTAGCCTAAACAGCAGTTACTATTAATTACTTTGATTTAACATGTGTTACTTGCCAAAATAATAATAATAACTTTACATTAAAGTTACTGACATCTTTTAGTGAATTTCCCATATAGGGAATAAGCTATTTCTGTTTCTATCTGTCTAAATTTCATCCGAATCAGCATACATATGTTTAGTATTTTTATATCCATTACTTAATTTTACTTCTTTTGAAATTTTCAATTTCATTTTGTTTGTACGTTTTGCTCAGTGAGGAAACTATTTCAGAGTTCAATTTAGCTCAACCATCTGAGGGTACTAGAGTGGTTATAAGGCTCGTCTAAAAGCCATAAAATGTTTTTATCCATAAATCAGAATAGAAGACTTTTTAGTGTTATTAAATGAAAACCAGAAACGTTAAACTTGCTGATACAAATACCTATTCTAAGTTTTATATGCCAAGCATCATCATCAACTTTTGTAGGTCTACCTCCTGGTTCGCCTTAAAATATACAACATGCTTGAAAATATGTTAAGTACTGGATAGTTATAATTTATACCTGACCCTGTAGTTTCTCTCTTAATTATGGCGATTTCCATGTGCTTGATCTTGATTCGAACCAGTAGGAAATAAATTTTACCTACTATAACATCTTTCAAGTGATATCTGAAACAAAGGACACAATGTGTTAGAGAATTTATAAAAGGAATAAACATTTTGGGAAAACAGGAAAAGTTATATAAGTGAACCTCCTGAAGAATATAAACTATAATCAAGCATTAGAAACATTTTGATGACAGCCTTGTTGATTACCTACTTGGGTGGTATTAGCTAGCATATAAAACATACTTACCAGATATTAATATAAATTTATTGTTGTTCAACGTTAACTCAATATTTTTATTTAAATCCAATTTTCATACAAACTATGTATTGATCAGGTTGGCATGGGTTTTAATAAAATTACGAGTTTTAGCTGAGTTAGTCTTTGATGACGAAGGATGCTTCTAATAATATAAAGTAAAATGGATTTTACTTGGTTTTCTTACTTGCACTTGTTGTACTCGAATTCAATGTGTAAACAGTCTTCAATTCCTACTTCCATTTTGATGCTGTTGTTCATATCGGGATACGATGACAGAGTATGAACAACCAAATCCAGTTCTTTTACAATATCGGAAATCCGTCTTACAACTGTCACCCTCAACAAGTATCTGTAAATTAATTTAAACATTAACTCTTTATACTGTCCTAGAAGACTACACATGTAGTTGCACAAAGCATTCAACTGTGAACTGTTACATCAAACATCAAATTAACGAAAAGCAACGTTCCACATCAATGTATTAGGCTACACCTTTCATTTTACTACAGTTCAATGGAAAACTGAAAAAAATAAATTAGGTTTAGGTAACCCACAAGGGTAAAACTTTTTGAGAACGCATAACCTTCAAACCCAAAAACATGTTTAGTAGACTGATTAGTAATACCAAATTTTACTAATGGATATATTCTTAAAAATTAATTTTAGAAAAAGTATTTCAAAAGATTTGTAGGTAAAGGATAATCTGGAGCTTATGTTAATTGTTAACCAAATTTATGCCTCACTTAAATGTCCTGTGTCGCCTTACCAATAATATAATTAACACGCAAGGTTTGTTAAAACAAACTGTAATATTTTACGATTATCGGTTAAGAGGGTGTCTACTGTAACACTTTGAATCTACTATGTGTTAATGAGGTCTATAAATAAACTGCTTCAGTCAAAAGAGGTATCTAGCCTTAATTATCAATAACTAAACAATTGAATGGTTACCTACCTTAATCGGACATTGGAACCTGTGTAAGACTCAAACGGTTTTTCTACATTCAGAAACTCAAAGTTATATGTAGTGTTTTGGAAAAGCTCTCCTGGCCGGGCAAGCTCTTTAACCAACGACGTAAACTCATGGTGGTTGCCTCTGTCGTAGTAGAGCTCTATTTGTCCGATAAATTCAATTTTGATTCCTTGATGTTCTAATTTGCTTCCTGGCTTCTTTAGAGAGATATTAACCTGCAATATAAAGATGGCATGGTATTCAATCCATGCATTCATATTTTAAAAAGTAGGCTGGTGCCTACTTTAGTTAAATATAGTTAGGTACTACATAGGGATGGACGAGATTGGATTTTTAGTTCGAGACGAGATTTTTTATTTCTCATAAAATTTCGAGACGAGATCGAGACGGGATTTCCCTTCTCATACACAACGGGAAATGCACGTTCAAAATTTTTACCTGATTTTGTAACATTGTTAGATGACTGTTTAAATACAAAAATAATGATAATAGGCAAGAATATTTACAATCTTTTATTAAAAAACATCAGCATAACATTTTTTTATTAATCACGCCTAACTTATTAAAAATGCCTACGATTAAGAAACATAGTGATATCAGTTAGGATAGAGTTCAACTTATCCTAAAATAAAATAAATCATAAAATAAAAGCAATATTAATTTTTATAAAATAGTTACTTGTTTTGACTTTTTATAGTAATAAAACATTCCTCACACTGCTTACACTTAACAAAACTTCTCAAATGAAGTACTTCTCACTTAAAGTAATATTATTAAAATAATTAAAGTAATATTTATATTTAAAGAATTAATTGAATAAGAACGCCTTCGCAAAGGAAACGCAACTACAACACGCTCCTGTATTGCGGGTATTGCATTGACTTTCTGCAGGCGTTTTAATTTTTTTTTTCTTTTTTCCTCGTCTCGATGAAAATCTCGGCCAAAAAGAAATCTCGTCTCGTGTAACGAGATTTAAAATTTCCCGAAATTTCAAGACTTGACCATCCCTAGTACTACAGTTAGGAGTCAAGAAAATATTTACAGTAAAATAATGTTTGCCCATTGTCACCCTTTTGTTCCTAGATCTGTTTCTTTCGGACTATAATTGGTTTATTTAACACATTCACTGCGGCTGCAAGATGGCCAGCTGCTGCCGGGAGCGTGGACAGCTAATGAGCTGCGTGGATGAGTGCACAAAATGTTGAAATTTAGTTTCATCCAATAGGAGAGACATACTAAAGCATGTACTGTGTCCCAGTTGTTGTGGACGTAATTTTCCAAAAACCAAATAGATAACAGCACTAAACAAAACTGCTAGCCGGCCCTCAATTCCCTGCCAAATGGAGGGAAAAAGCAGGGGCGAAGTACCCGGATACACCATCAAAACATACCGCAAAAAGGGATAACAATTTTAAGGTTAGGTTCCTTCCACGACCGTACATTCAGTATTGTTATTCTATTTCATGTCATGAAATGCCTAATACGACAATGTCAACAAAATGAATATGAATATTGGCGGTAACCTTGACCAACGTGAAACTGAAAACCACTACCCTAACATGTACGCTAAGGCACAATATGCGTTTCATTCTCTCTCAATAGCTAGACGAAATATAATTGAATTACAGTGTCCATGACAAATGTCTCCAATCGGAGGCATGCACACGTGGGCGGGGATGCTGATGTCTCAAATCGGAGACAGGCCGCAGTGAATGTGTTAAGCGCAACTGTATGACTCACATATGTGTGTCACACCACTTTAGGTATTTAATACTTAAATTTTATAAGGGGTTGGCAGTCGCTTTTAACCTTGAATTTGCCCATCTACATGGGCCTCAAACTTGAGTTTGAAACCTATTAAGCAAATCAAGGGGTGGGCCATTTCAGTACAAGATTAAACTTGACTGATATACAGTAAATAGTTCCTCGATAATTTGGACCTCAATAATCCAGGAAAAACTAAATTTACCTTTCCAGATACACTCTCGCCATCATAATACAGCAAGTGCCTTTCCTTCTTTCCATCTTCAGTCTTGATATCAGCCTGTTTTCTTGTGTCTGCACCATCTAGCACAATGTTGATCTCAGCACTCTGGCCAAATCCAAAGAAACTCTGCAAACACAACACAATTTAGGATAAAAAATATAAATTAATTAAAAACTTTGTTGTCAATAAATAACTAAGTTACTTAGAAAAACTAAGATTTAAAAACAATAAAAACATTTAAAAGAGTAAAACTAAGTTACCGGTACCTATATATGGGCAACTTGTTTGTAAGGACTGACCATACTGCCACTGTTTTGAAAAACCCATCAGCTAAAGTAAGTCTTACTGTCACAATTATCTGAGGAGCTCAAGGGTCTAAAGGGCTATTCAAGGTAATTTTAGGCCTAAGTATTTCTTTTTTATTTTGGGCCAGAAAACAATACGGCATATAAATAACGTTATTAAGCCTAAAAAATGTTTCTGTTTGGTAAAGTAGGCCTTAAGCAATTAAGGAGTTATTTGATAAAACTAATGACTTACTTGTACATTATTATACATAAAATTAATAGGCATATTAATAACTAATTAATTATTAACCCTCCAAAAGTCCATAGTTTAGGCCTTAATGTCCACCTATTTTTGGCCCCTTTGCAAGGTTTTATTAAAACGGATCTGAGAAGCTTAAAACAATTTTAATTCTAATGTTCTATATACCATTTTGTTTGGAAAATCATGGGCTTCAATATTATATATAAAACATAAGGAACATTTTTTCAAAAAAAAATTTTTAGGTAAAAAAAAATATAATTTCGAAAATTTTCAAAAAAAAAATAAGTTCGCGCTCAATGAAATTGTATAAATTATAGGCCTATAAATATTTGAAAATAGCCACTTTGTTCTAAATTTAATGAGGATTACAAATATATAATCATATAGCGAGGTAAGTTATCAAATAAATAAGTTATGAGCGAAAAACAGATTTCAGTACATAGCGTTTAGCTAAGAATGCATAGCCTAACCATAGCTAGGAATCTGGCTGATAATTTACATCAATATCACTACCTACTTCTTCAGGATCATCAACCAGCACTTCAAAACCACTTAAATCTTCTTATAATGCACCACGTATATCACTACTTTTGATTTTTAACACTAAAACAATGATAAACATAATAAAACACATCAGTCATCGGTCCGAGGTTAAGTAACCTGTTTACTAATATGCACGTCAGCTGTCTGCTAACAATTACGATCGGCTCAGAGAACAAACAGCGCTTAGAGACAGACCTTTAGAAAGCTTAGAATCTAATGAAAAGAACGATACCTAACTCGATCCAGTTCAATCCGATTCAGTCAGTCATAGAGCCTTCGCCGTAAACGATGTTTGTGCGTCTTAAACTAGACGCGTGACCCTACACAAAGTGTGTTGTGCGTCTATTTTTTGACGCGTGACCCTCGGAGGGTTATTTATTAATTACATAAATTAATAATTAATAGGTACATTGCAAGTTTTTTTTTGTGAATTTTTCATTTAGGGAATAGGCTAAGCTATTGTACCACAGGTCTTATAGTAGCCTAAGATATGGACCCGGAACCGATTTACTTTTTGAAGTACTTACTAGGCTTACAAGAAGAGACCAAAAACACAATCTGTTTGAATACTTCATATAGGCCTATTTATACTACTATATATATATATATATGTGTTTGTTAGCACGATAACTCAAGCAAAAATCATCTGATTTTTATGAAACTTGGTCCCTAACCGTTTTTAAGAAAAATAAACCTAGTATATTTATTCAAACGAGTTTGCAAACCAGCATGATCGGACCATGGGAATGGAAATACGGTACTTCTTTTATACATTTTATGAATTTTAACAAAAACAAACAATAACCAAAACTCATGGATATGATTAAAAAGTTACCACCGCATAGGGTTTGAAATTGTACAGTTTCTTCTATTTTTAAGTTGGTCGTACAAATTTAGATTAGGATATAACTAAAATAAGTTAAGGATTAAAAAGACAGCTTTAAGTTAACTATTAATTTTTTTTTCGGTGCTTTACTGTTAAAGGGAACATTTTTATTATTATTGGTGATTTTTTTCCCCGGATATATAGTAGAACCTCTCAAATCCAAACCCCGCCATAATCCGAACGCCTCTTTGCATACCTCACAGTACAGTAGTTCTTTATTGTATACTGTAGGTATTTACTGGTACACGCACTGTAATTGTTTCTATTGTAATGTACAAAACTGTTTATTCACTATGTTTACTCTGTATTAAATATAAACAGTGTAGCCTATTTTACTTGACAAGTTAAAGCATTTTTCACTTTTCCCGTAACAATTGTACGATCCATTTTGCCACATTTTAGCTATTGTAATGTAAAAACAACAATATGTTCTGTAATCCGAACTATTCAATAAAACCGAACTACCCCTAGTCCCAATTAGTTCGGATTAAAGAGGTTCTACTGTATAGCTTTAACATTTTTGATTTCCTTAACGATCCATAACTACTAACTCCATATACTCCATATATACCGAGTTTCCTTCTGTTTTAATATCTTTAAACACATTTAAATTACAAAAAGAAAACTGATCTCATTTAGCCAAAAATAATATACCTAGGCTAGCCTTTATGGATTAAGAAATGAAACTTCTAAGCTAAGTTAAACTAATATCACATAACTAACCAAGCTTGCTCAACCATTTCAACATTCCTTGATAACAGAAAAGACATGTGGGGAGTATAGGCCTCAAACAAAATTTTGAAATATTACAGCAAGTTTGGTTGGTTAGGTTAAGTTAATTTGGAACAATTTCATTTCAATATAATATTTTTTTTATTGTTTGTTGAGATTGAACAATATTTAGCTAGTTATCATAGTTTTCAGCTGATATGTTTCAATTCGTTAAGTTAATAAGTTATAAATAAAAGTTATTGGATCAAAAAATAAAATATCTAGCCTACTATATAAGTTATCGACAAAAAATCATCGATAATAATGAATGTTCCCTTTAACTCTTTCAGTGCTATGCAATGATATAAGTTAAGTTATCGTTGTGCATATTTTTCCCATTTAATGCTATGGAACAATAACTTATACGCGTCAAATCCCAAAAGTGCAAAGCGACGATATATCATGCCGACCTGACTTTCGATTGTTTGAGTTTAAAATCTCCAATATCAGTTGACATAAGACATTTATTGATCTTTAGGCAAAATTACATGCAATCGATCTTGTCATGGACGCTTGAAATGCACAACACAGTCATAACTTAAGTAGGCTACAATAGTAAAACATGCTACACTAAAGCAAACATAAAAAAAAGTGATCAATCTAGCCTACAAAATTAAATAAGAGTGGCTATATTTTATGAGAGTTGACTAGGTTATTCTTTAGAAACAGCAATGATTCCTTTCCATTACTCACACGATCGAAGCACAATATAAGTTATCATTCCTTATTACTTTTGAGATGAAACATTTTTATTTCTACAATTTTGTATAAAACCATCTTTAAGTACCGGTACCCGTAGGCCTATATACAATTTTTTAACCCTAGCAGTGGCCAACGAGCGTAATACGCTCATTCACCGTGACGCCTAGAATGGCCACCAGCGTAAAACGCTATTATTAACCAAAATTTTTTTAACGGTGAAAAAACCACTTATAATAAACTCTGATGTGAACAATATATATATATACCATTCAAAATATCACATTCTGAACTTTCATATTATTATACAAACAAACCCTGTAGCAGGTATATAACAATGTCACGACAATTAGTAATCAAATGAATTTTTGGCGCGGCACGACTTTTGCAGCTGACACTTGGGAACTGTCAAAACACAAATTGTTTGGCATTACCCTGCTCGGGTAATTTTCGTTTTGGGATGATGCGGATGTTGCCACTGGATAGCCATTAATTTTATCTTCATTGTGGTATTGATACAGTAGAGTCCCACAAACTCGGCACTCGATAACCCGGCAGTCTGGATAACTCGGCCATCACCTGGCTCAGAAAATTTGTGATTTTTTAGTTAAATATGTAGGTATGTACAGTATACATTTTTTTATTTCCTAAGGCACCAAGGACTTGTTTCACTATATCTGATGACTTAATACTGACTTGTAATATAAATATAAATAAAAAAGGCGGTTGAAAAGCTTCAAAACTGTATTGTTAAGCCTAGTTCCCGATAACCCGGCATTTCACAAACTCGGCACCCTTTCAGTCCACATTACGCCGAGTTTGCGGGACTCTACTGTATTTAGTCTCCTAGGTCATTTTTCAATCTGATTGTTGGAAACAAAAGGTCATTTCATTGAGTTGAAGCAATGCCATGTGTATTTCTAAACCCCTAAGTTCCAACCTTTGAAAAATCTTAATATAAAGAGGGGCATCTCTGGTGAGTCGCCGGGGCCTCATAGATTCTAAATACATTAACTTAAGACCCTGTTCTTAGTGTTTTTAGCGAATTTCCCTCATAAGTTAAGTTAGGGAATAAGCTAACTTATTTATCTAACTTATATATCATATGGTTAAGTTAAATTTAATGTACCTAATGATAATAACTTATTGAAATCATAATCTATAAGCTCTGCTGCAATAGTGTCCCCACAACTTTTTCAACAATGGCAAAATAAGTTACAGTAACAAAGATTTGTCTAAACTTAAGTGAGTTTAATTTGGAAAAGGCTGGCATACACAGTGATAATATTTAAATCATATTTCAGTAGAATTTGAAGAACAAGAACTAAGTTAGCTTAGGAAGGTTAAGTTACTAAGTTTTGCCAAACTTAGGCTACTTCAAGGCAATAAGTACCTAACTTAACTTACCGTAGCAAGGTGTTAGCCTACATATACTCATCCCTAGGTGGAAAGTTTTATAATGTTCTATTAGGTTATTTTATTAGTTTTAATTTGACACAATCTTCTCCGACATTGTCGGTCACCGCAGTATTCAAGTAAGTATTCAAATAATACTAAAAGTAATTTACTTAAGGGTGGAATTTGAAAACTACTCAATAGGCTACAACAAATAAATTAGGTTCAGTTTTTTAAGTCCTAGGCACGGGCCTGGGATTGTTTTTCACATTAAGTTACTTCAGGCTAGACCTAGGTGTTGCAGTAATATCACCTAGATAAAATCCATTGGTGATTTGGTAGGATTTGAACGCAGGACCTCAGGGACCGAAGTCTCACGCTCAAACCACTAGACAAGCTCGCTCCCCCCATTACATTGGGAATAAGTAAAGGGGTCATCATACTTAACCCTATATGAGCGATCAAAATTTGGCAGTTCTAGCAGATATCAGGGAACTTTGGCCTAGGTCCTAGTTACTATGACACACAAATCCAAAAATATTTATGCTTATTTGTGCCTCGTATGGTTTCGACCATGGACATCTCACTGTTTTATTAATCTTAAGATTGTTTTTCCAAATAATAACTAGGCCTACATAGGCTAGTATGGCAAAGATATTCACAAATGTGTAAGTTAGCTTAATCAATTCACTTCACAGACGACTTGGTAAAAGTTTGTGTTCATATTTAGGTGGTATTATCTGACTTACCATAGTGAAAAAGTTTTATTGGATCTACGGCGATTGAAAATAACCAAAATTATAAATAAGGTAGAACAAATAACATTGCACTACACAAGAACTAGATAAATTTTAAATCAATCAGGTAATAACACTGAAGTTATTTATTGAGAGGCTAACAACTCCATCCCAGTTTGTTACGTCACGCCACACTTCCACGGTAGATGTCTGATCTCAGCCTTATAAATAGTTATAACTTAGACAAACAAAAGTTTGTGTACTATATAAGACACAAAAACGGTCACAATATATAACAATTGACTATTAGAATTATAGTCAAAGATATTAAACACTACTTTGCATATTTTGTATATAAATTCGTCCTCAAAAATGTTTATTTAGGAACTAAGATATATGTTTAACATTATAACACTTTTTTTCTCTTCTAGCATGAAATTTTGGGCCACCGGAATTTTATCCCCCTGGAATTTTACCCCCTGGACAAAGCTGACGTCACTATGACCTAAGGGAGTATGTTTTATCTATGCTATGACGTAGTAACCTGAGTGGCCAAAAGTTTTTTCGCGGCCGGAATTTACCCTCGCGGATTTGGAAGTCTAATGAAAATAGTCAGAGCGTGATTAATTAGATTAGCGATAAAAACCGGAATTTTAACCCCTGTCCTATATACAGTGTAACTAGCTTCACAGAAAACATTTGCCAGCGTTTAGACAACTGAAGATGTACTTTTATCCCCGGATTTTTACCCCCCGGAATTTTACCCACAGATTTTTACCCCCCGGTATTTCACCCCCTGGCCGATTTTAGAAATTGAATGATTGATTTTATTATTTCTGTTTTTAATTAGTTGTTAACATTTCATTATATAGTAGCCTATCTTAATTTATTTATTTTGTAATCTCAACTTAGTTTAACTTTTTAATGCTATTGAACATCACAGAATCCAATTGCTTAGTTGTACCAGCTGTTAAGATTCTTTAATTCCATTTTAATATGAGTACTCATAAGGTTAACATGGTAAACTCCATAGCCACTGGGGCGGAGCCCTTTTGAGGGATCTGCACCAAACTTCACACAAACCATTCATGAATAATGCTTAATAATGCCTGAAAGTTTCATTACAATCTGTCGAGCTGTTTCGGAGTCCATAAAAGACAAACAAACATACATATTGGATTTTATAGATATACTAGCTGAACCCGGCAGACGTTGTCTTGCCTTTGACTATTTATAAATTTAAGTACCGTAAGGTTTAATTGTCTTATTGTATATGAAGTGCTTATAACTAAATTAAAATACGTACGACAACTAATGAAACACATATAGTACAAAGGATAACCAATTCTTTATTATTGCTCTTATATTAATGCTAGGTTATGCTAGCTTAATTATTAATGGTTATTTTAATTCATTCATGGTTATTAATGACAGTATTTTCAAGATGATCTCGTTCGCATGGCTCAATCACGTCCTGGTTGAAGTTCGTTCGCTACGCTCACTCACCTTTAAGTTGGAGCTCGTTCGCTACGCTCACTCACCTTTAGGTTGGAGCTCGTTCGCTGCGCTCACTTGCCTTCAGGTTAGCTCGTTCACTACGCTAACTCGCCTCCAGGTTGAAGTTCGTTCGCTATGCTCACTCACCTTTTGGTTGCAAATTAGTTGTTGTCCTAAATGTAAAAGAAATAATAGTGCTGCACCCTGTTGGTAATCTTTGTAACTTTAATGCTATTGAACAGAACCAACTTGTTTAATTGAAACAGCTGTTAAGATTCATTAATTCCATTTCTCATAAGGTTAACATGGGAAACTCCAGAGCCACTGGGGCGGAGCTGATTGGGCGGATCACGAAATTGATGGTGTATAAACCTATTCCATGACATTCTACACGTATATGTACCAAGTTTCGTGGCAATCGGTACAGCGGTGTCTGAGTTTATCACTGCAATATATATATATATACAAACATTCTCTTTTATACTTATAGATTATTATTATCGAGTGTGTTTTATCTATAGTAATAATCCTAAACAGATCATATCAGTTCATATCCTTCAACCATGAATCATATCAGTATATTTTACAATGCCTACTCTTGAAATACACAACAAAATACTCAACTTGTAAACATATTTATATTTTAATTAAATTCTTAAATTTCATTCATGCTCATATTTTTAAAATTCGTATTAGGCCCATTTAAAACAATCATATTAATCCGAAGTAAATCAAATATTACAATAATTTTCTAATACAAAAGAGACATGTAGAATGGCACCGACGAGTCTAAGTATCATATTCAAAGTCCCGGGCAATGGACGCACAACCTGACGTCTACAGTGAACTGCTGATCGATGTGGCAGCCATAATCACAGCATTGAGCACCAAAGGGATGATGGACACCGTAGGCGGGGTTAATTAGAATCTGGAAAAAGGAAGGGACATGAGTAGCAAGATGGCATGAGTCTGGAAGAAGATTTGCGAGGCTAGGACGGGGTCGGATCGAGTAGGCCCCACTTAATATGTCCAGGATTGGTAAAATTTGCCACCTGAATACGTCCTAGGCCAAACGACTTCACCTACTCAACCAACACCGACAGAAGAGGTCCAGGGGGTCGTCATCCGTCTTCGAGTACCAGGATCAACCACCGAGTCATCCGACAACGGAGACAAGGGGAGGCCTGGACATCCACGACACGGGCCGAATCGTCTACCCTCAAGATCTTCTCATTGGTATGTTCCTAAATTCAATTATTATTCCCAGGACAAAAAGTTAGAAGAAAGAAGAAAAATTTTAATAATATAAGAGGGGCCTAAGTTAAATAACTACAATTCATTACAATTACACCTAAAGGGTTTATTAAAGAGATGTAGATTAGAGTGAGTGGTCAAATAAAATTTAGTAACTCATTCATGGTGTCAGTTCAATCAGTTCCTAAGTATTCTCACAATCTTAGTAGTCATTTTGTATTCTTCACATTTAAAGTAAACTCATAACCCCAATAGTTTACAAACTACAGTAAAGTAAAGTTGTGCGCTGTTGTCTAAAAAATTATGCAATATGATTACCACCCATAGAGCTATATACAGTATGTAGATCTGTGGTACCACCACGTGAAGACGGACCATGGCAATTTAAGAATATTATTTATTATATTACGGTCTTTCGTTCAAACATATATATATATACAAAACTCTAATTTTATTTATATAGATATACAAACTTCCTCTTTTATATAGATTTAATAAAATTTTAAATAGCATAGTAATATACAAAACTCTAATTTTATTTATATAGATATACAAACTTCCTCTTTTATATAATATTTAATACAATTTTAAATAGCATAGTAAAATCTATTTGGCTAGTGATAATTTTATTACATTTAATCCATTCAACATTATCTCTATGAAATTTCTATCTCTTCCCCTTCCTTCTAGAAGCTGGCAGCACTGATTCAAAAAGTCACGTTGCCGGCGTTCGTTGAACCTCTGAAATGATCTTTGAATTTTGCAGAAGAAGAATGTAAATTCTGGTCTTGTCTTTCTCGTCCGACGTCCTGTATCTGTATAGTATTATCATCATACACACTACACAAACACACGCACTACGTTACGTACGAACTAAGAAGACTACACAGTACAGACAGAGTCAACTGAATGCAGTGGGAGTGGAATCGGAATGTTCAACGAACACTCTTGCATCATGTGTTGCACTGCGTTTGCGATATTGTTTTAGACATTTTTTTGAAAATTAAAAACCTGACCGCGGGATTTTCAAATTGAATTCTGTAGTGGTGATTTGTGTTACTAAATATTTGCTTAATTTTACCTTTATAAGATTATAGCAGGATCTGAACCATAAACTAATTAGAGGTTTGAATATGATCACAAAACTGAAACATTGTGGTAGACAATTCTCAAAATTAGCTGTAAAATCTTTTGAAGACATCCCTTCACCGAAAAAGTGGCCAGTTTTGGGACATGCATATTTGTTTCTTCCCAGAGGTAATTAAACATATTAAATTCAAGAATTTTACAATGCTAGATAAAAAAAATATGAAGGACTGTGTGTTGCAATGCATGAACTTCAGATTAATTTATCTAGCTCTACAAAATACTTTTTTAGCTGTAGCAAGTTTTAAATGAAAATGAATCAATGTTATTTCAATTTTCATTTTCATCTTTTCATTTACTAAAACACATTATTGCATTACTTAACAATTTAAAAAATGACAAACTTATTGCAAAATCACAACTTGCTTTGATACCTTACTTTACTAGCTAGTAATTGCTTACACATGCTATAGCACATCTACCATAGCCATAATGTTCTACCACTGCACCTAAACCACAGATAAAAGTAAATTAAGTTCTTGTTGTGTACCACATCATTTTGTTGCGGTTCATATTTAATTAGCTGTTGTCATAAAATGCAAAAATATAATAGTGCTGCACCCTATTGGTTAACCTCATAACTTTTTAATGCTACTGTATTTATTATCATAGTCAGCTGTTTCAACTAAAAAATTGGTTCTATGATATGCAAAAGCATTAAAAGTTATAAGATTTACGAACAGGGTGCAGCACTATAATTTTTTCTGCTTTTATGAAAACAGCTAATAAGCCATTGACTATTTGAACTAAGCAGCAACAAAAAACTGTGATATGCAATAAGAATAGTCATAGTTGGACCCTTTACAGTTATCTTTATGTTTTTAATTTCATTAATAATTTGTGATATTTTGCAAATTTTTGATAATTTTTTCTCTTTTGTTTAGGTGAAGTGGTAGAATATTATGGCTATGGTAGATGTGTAATAAAGTATACCGTAAATTTAAAGAAGCAAATTTTATCAAAATGTGTCCTCTCCTATTGCAAACGCAAAGCTTGAGTATAACTGCAATAAGCATTTTATACTTATATGCCAACCCCATATGAAGGACGGACGTACTCTGATGGTATAATTATATATTTGAGGGGAAATCTAACCAGGTAAATGTAAATTGAATAGTCTGTAGGTTTGCTGCAGTGGTAGTATTTTTTTGTATCTAGAAGAGAATCTTATAAGGCCGCTGCGAGACAGACAAAAGTGGCAACGGCCACAGAAACGGCAAACTCTGTAACAGCTGTTGCACTAATTTATAACGGTTCGAGCGTGTGCATAATGTTTATATTTACA